TCATGGGCTTAGAGGGCAAAGTAAACACTACTCATGTCTGACCCACAACACAGGAAGTAGACATTTCTCCACTTGTAGAATTTCATAGTGTATGTTTTTCAGTCCGATCGTTATATTAAAAAGTAAGATGACAGATGGGTAATGAAACAAATGTAATACTTTCAGCTATTAGAAAAAGGAAATAAAGGAGGTTCTTGGAGCTACTGTATTCATTGCCTTTGGTATTCGCATAAGGATTACCAGTAGAAGGAATCGTCTATAATTATACTCCCTCTTATGCCTATGAACCAGGGCCTGGTGAGCTCAAATGACTTGGCTAAGAAATAAAGGCTAAGACTAGAACTCAGCCCAACTGAGGGCTTTTTCCTGTTTCACTTCATCACATTTTAGTCTACTACATCATAACATAATGCTGATGTTTAAAATCTGTTATTCTAGAGCAGAATCATATGCCTTCCTCACCTGAGGAAAGCTTTACATTTTTGTTTTTTGCTGCCTTAGAAAAGACGATAATATAACATTATAGACTACAATGACAAAGATCCACATTTCCCGAAATTTCTATATGCAAATTTACAAGAACTTTGTATTACTGTAAGCTTTGCATTCAAAAGAGAACTTAACTTTGATGTATAACAGACAAATTAAATTACATTAAGACGGTAAATCTGTAAGTCATTGTTAAAAAATAGTTTACTTATTTTAAGAAAAGAAAACTTTCCAGTCTTTGATATATGTTCTTACAAACATGAAAATAAAATTCCTTTCCTCAACTGTCCTTTTCCATTTCACACGTATTGATCTTTCCATATGTTTTAAATAATCATGAAATTAATAGAAATGTTTTTAATAAATCCAAATCATAGCTCCTTTCATGTCAAAATATTTTGGGGAAGACTGAGGTGAAAAGCTGCTTAAGCATTAGGACAAACTAAGAACAACCAGGAGCAGCTTTAGAATAGAAACCAAACACTGACAGAGAGATGGGAAGGTGTGTGCAGGTTGGAGGGGCCTCTAAGAGGACTACAGAGTGGAAGGGACATGGCCAGGCAAAACAAAACATGGGAGGAATTAGGTCAAGGAGTGTATGATTAATATGTTAGCTGTCGACCAATGGAAAAAGACATGCCCAGTGGATAAGTAAAGCCTTTCTGTGATTTCTAACAACCTTTTGAATATGTGGTACTTGGCAAATTTCTCAAGATGTCTTCAACTTTCATTATTCATAAGCAGGTCGTGATGTTTACCCGAGTGACCTGTGAAAAACAATCAGGGTGGAACACCACCCTGTTCCTGGCACAGTCTGGCGCTGTGGATCCAGGAGAAATGAACACCCTTTACCTCTACCCCGATACTCCACACTGAGCAGAGAGGCCAACAGGAAGATCCGTCATGGGCTGACTGAGTAACCCTGCAAGTCACACAGGGTTCATAATTGATCACTGTTGTGGAGGTGCTTATGATCCTAATTAGCTTTGAACCAGTGACAAGATTAATAGTGTTGAAAAATAAATCCAGGGCCAGGCATGGTGGTGCATGTCTTTAATCCCAGCATTTGGGAGGCCAGCATGATCTACATAGTTAGCTCCAGGACAGCCAGGCTACATTGTGAGACCTTGTCTTAAAAAACTGGGGTCGGGGTGGGAATCTGTATCATGGGAAAAAAAAACCCTCCAGTTTACGGATTTTTTTTCAATTTTGTGCAAATTAAAAACCAACACTATAGTGAGAGAGGAAGGCTATCTGATAAGGCCAATGTGTCGGCTAGTAAAATAGCTAACACTGCTACAAATTTTGTAGAAATACTACATTTGGAAACCTGGCTGTTTGACTTATATAACAAATTTGATATTATATTAGAAGAAGCCATGCTTTTACATGACTGTACACAGACCAGAGGGCAATTTACGAGATAGATATTTTATGGACGATTTTTACTTTGAGTCTCAATTATTACAAGCATCATTATGCTTGAGAAGATATCAAATGTCTTAGCACTTGTTTGCATCTTAGCATTATATTAAGCACTATGGATACAATTCCTGATGCTCTCAAATTCATGAGAGCATTTTGTAAAACACCATGCTGCACATACTGTCACTCAGAGGGTTCTGGTTCTTTCAACAGTTTTAAAACATACAGCTGAGTTGAAGCAGACAAGTGTGCCACCCAGAGGCCAAAGGAAAAAAAACACACCTTGTGTTTTTATTTGTAAAGCAAAACTAGTAAAGGTTAAATTAAAATATTAACATTTCAATTTAAATATTTATATAGTATATATTTACTTATATAACTTATTTAATTTAAATAGCAAACATTAATATTTGGTATTACTTCTTTTTAAAGCAAAGGACAGTCTTTTGTTGCAGGATATCTGCTCACACTGTAAACCCTGAGATTGTGTTATTCACTGGTAAAACCTGTTTCTAGGTGTGTCTCAACTGTACACCTTTAATCCAAGAGCTTTCTGCTTGAATATTGTAAACAGGATTACATCAAGTCAACCATAGGTCAAGAGGTGGAACAAGCCACCAGTTGAGAGAGTGAACATAAGAAAAACCATAGAGTAAGAAAACGTCAGGAGGACAGATAGAGAGACACACAAAGTAGAAGGGAAAGCCATTTACTTTGAATACTTTTTTTTTTGAAATGGCATGGAAAAGCACCTTCATTTTGGGACATCAGCTGAGGAGAAAGGTCAGTGGGGTGCTTCCTCTGGCTCTCTGAGCTTTCACCCCAGCATTGGGTTCTGAAGCCTTTATTGATAAAATGGAATGGTTGAGACTTTGTTAAGAACAACAGTCTTTAGACTTCTTCCTTTGCATAAACAAATCCTTTTCATGCCATGATACAGGAAAGTGTGCTTCTTTGTGACTCTCATAGAATAAAAACAAGCCTTGACACGGTATCAGCCACAGGTGCACGACTTACCAATTAAAAAATTAAAGTTCACTGTCTTCTCTGTAGTAAATGTTTTCTTTTCTTTTTATAATGAATATAGCATGTGTTTCCAGAAGTACATATAAGTTCTAAAACAACCACCATGATCTACTTAGACATGTGGGCCAAGAGTTAAACTAATTAAGCAGAGACATTTCTTACTTAAATGAGAAAGGCTTCTTTTATTAGAAAGACTGTGTAAGTTTCTTCTGGCAAAGAAATAAAGTTCACTTAGGGTAATTCTGTTTGACAGACAATCATGGCTTCTAAAATATATACTAATACTTGTTCAGTTTAAAATAAAATAGATTATTTTATTTTAAGGTTAAAGGTTAAAAAAGAACAGAAAAATAGTTAATTCTATTAAAGCCACATAAAAACCCAGGCTCCTGCTGGCATACACAATAGGATGATTACAGAAGAAATGGATGATATCTCCATTCTGTCCTAACATCTGCACAATGGGACTGCTGCTGGCATTGGGCTGTCTTTTAAGATTTACATTATTTTATAACAAATCTACAAAAGAGCACTGTCTTCATTTAACTGAAAACATGATGTACATTAAAAATGTGAAGACAATTTTAAGTATATAATTTCAACACCTTTCCTGAATGTAAGATATTTTTAAAACACTTCATGAAAACATACCCTACTGTGAGTTTAACACTGCCATTCTTACTTCATGCTTTATTGTTTTCTCTTCACACAGTGCATCTTCAAACAGAAATACCATTTTAAACTCACTCCTTTGTGGGACTTCCTAACATACTCACTCTAAGAACTACTGCTTTGTGCTGATATTGGATTTATTTTTATTATATCAGGAAATTCTACAGTTGATCAATATTTCCAAATACATTTTCAATAAAAAATCTCTCCTTTAACATAGTGTTGCTAAGTCAACTTTCCTATTTCGGCGCCTACACAGAGGGAGCCCAGTACTACATTCCAAGGTATTCTTTCCTGTTGCTACCCATTAAGCTTCCACATGCCATGCATGACATCATTCTGTGGGAGATGCTTCTTCCTACCTGTAGGGGCAGCTGGGAATAGTTAAGCAGAGAACGTTGTCACCTAGACATCTGTTTTAAAAAGTTAATGAAGCTGTGCTCCAAGCTCGGCCCCTATCATCAACGTGCTCCAGTGTTGCTCAGAGTAAACACGAGCGGAACAACCCAGCAGGACAGCATGGTGATGGCTCAGCGATTACAGCTCAGAGTTTGTAGCAGGAACCAGAGAATATGGGGGCACTTCTCAAGCACTCCAAGAACATTCTAAAGACTCAACTACATTCTGAAGAGAAACAAACAAACAAATGCCAGGCTCGCCCCAATCTGGAGTTTAATTCCCTGGAACCAAATGGCAGGAGACTCGACTGCTGCAAATTGTCCTCTGACCTCCTTGCTTGAGCTGTGGCACTCATGGGCCCACACCCCCACACATACACAAAAGAAATAAGTGAATATAATAAGAACAGTTTTCAAAAGTCCACAGGCCCATCTGCATCACTCCTCTTGTCCCTCTCAAGTGCTAGGGGACTTCCCAAGGGAGGCAGACCACGTACTGGCCACATCCTATAATCCTAAATCCAGGATCTACAAAGAGCATTCATGAAAGACTTGTGCCTTTTTGTTTCTACCAAAACTTCTATTTCTTTGGAAGAAATATATCATACTAAGAGCTTTAATTCACAAGAAACTGTACCTCATAAAAAGAATCCAACAACTAAAACACTAATCTCCAAGTATTTTTAAATTGGCCAGAGAACCACACAGGGAAACAGGCTGAGATGGTACTGTGAAATTGACAACAAAGGCAGAGACTGGATCACATGGGTTTCAGAATAAAATTCAGATTTAGTTGGTGTACGCAGAGTCAGTGGGGGAAGAAGCAAGAATGTGATAAGCCTGATCACATTTTTGAAGACCTATGTATAAAGAGTGGAAGCCACCGAGGATTTTAGCCTTTCTGGTATATTTTCAAAAGCCCTGGTACATATAAAGTGTGACAAGCGGTTTCCCGTTGTGGCACACCATGATAAAGGAGTCACAGGATACCTGGTCCTCGCTGGTTAATCCCAGGTGCATCACAAGGTAAAAATGCACCAGGAAATCCGAGTTTGGCAGAACATCCTGGCGTCTGGTCATCATGGCGCAGATCAGTTTGTAGGCTTGCAGCTTGCCTTCCTTGTATTCATTTGGCAGAGTAGTAGCCTGCCAAGGAGATGATGTTTCTAGATTAAATCAAGTCCAGATGCAGAGCATTTCAACATTTCATTTACTTCTCAGTTTTTCTCAAGACTTGTTTGGAGATATGGGATGCACTGGCTGTAGTAAGACCCAGACTGTCTTCAAAACATGCAGTCTTGGGCAATTGAGTTTTTAAACTCAATTTCCGACAGGAAGAGGAAATTGCAATAAAAGAATAAACACTTGCCTTAAATAGCCATGATGCAAACATTCTGAGTGGTGGAATCAGGAGTGGAGGCGACGGAGACGACTGGTTATCCAAGCTTACTGCTAGGTTATCTCGTATCTAGTTCAAAAGAGAAGGTTAAGAAGGTAACATTCTACTTCTTAGAACCATACAGCAATACTGTCTTGTATAGCCAAGAAACTGTTTCCATTTTTTTTTTCATGAGGAATGAGAAATATGTAGTATTTACAGATTTTTCTTTTATCATGAGATTTCTTGTCCTTTTAAAGTATGTCTGGCTTACTACACGTAGCCAAAGCTTTAAACACAAAAGAATGATACTGCTTTTCAAGCATGTGAATTCCTAGGGAGGTCCCGAACTACAAATGATAAGAAATGATTTCATATATTATGCTATGTAAACATACATCATGTTTTAGAAAAATATTTAATGATAGAAAATATATATTTAGTATCAAAACTGTACATATTCTAAAAGCTTAGTTTTATGAAATGTTTTTTTATCTATGGAAATAAACGTTTTACATATTAATATTGGTTGTTCTATAAAATAGGCATATAAATATCTTCTTCATGCTTTTCTATATTTTCCCCAACTTTGTATACTCACAATAGTATCACTTAACTAAAATGAATAATGAAATCACATATTATCCTATTTTAATATCTTTTACTAATATACTTTTGTACTAAATGAAATAACTCTAAGGCATTTAGTAAAGTATTAAAACTATATATATTATGATTTACTCTTGAGCAATCAAATGTGCGTCATCTAAATGCCTAGCTTGCACTTCAGAACACAGTCACTAGTTTATATATTAAATGATGTATGTTAATTTCTCTGGATTACTGTTTTTAAGAGGTAAAAGCGTAACACACCTTGGCCAGTTTGTACCACAGTTCATAGAGATAGCAAAAAACCTTGGCATGGATCTTCGGTGACTGGATATTATTCACATCCCCGAGGATTCCCAAGACTCTTCGCCACAGCACGGCAGCGGAGTCTGGGTGCCAACCAGTAAGGCTCCCTCCAGCAATTATGCTACAGTCGTCTGTAAGGCACTCTCTGCTCTCTGTGGAGAGAAGTATGGACGTCACTCTGCCAACATGATCTCGATTTCATCATCATAGCTTTTCAGTCTTATTGCAAATTACCTGTGCTAAAATTTTAGGAATTCTTAGCAATTAAGATTTTTAAAATGGCGCAGAATTTGATAGAACAGAAGAAAAAAGAGTCCGTTTTAAAAGGTCAAACACTTGATTCTTTCAAACTGAAAGCCCAACAAGAAACAATGTACACCTGGGGTGATGGTGTGAAGGGTCTTACGAAGCAGGCAAGATGAGAGAGACTTTGAGTAGGGTGGGTACCATGACAGTAGGCAACCCAAAGTCTCAGGGTAGAGACATTTGCATTGGTCTTGATAGTTTATTGAGCATAGAATTTGTGTACAAGAAAGCTTCTCCTCCTTAGGTCTAAGGAATTCATGCAGTCACGTAACGGACACCATTCATCCGCCCATAACCAAGACAAGGCTCAGTTTCATCAGTCGGAAGCACAGCCCTTTCACAGCCCCATTCCTTATCATAAGCATTTCATAACCGCTGTGCTGTGTTCTGTCCCCACTGCTCTGCCTCTTCCACTACCTAACAGAAATTGAATTCTAGTAATTAGCCTTTCTACCTGGTTTCTTTTACTTATCAGAACACACCTGAGAATCATTCATAAGAGTGTGTATGGTGGGAGTCTGTTCCCTCTGACACTGATTAACATTCCACTTTGAGCGACAACATAGTTCATCTCTTCACTGATGAAGAGCATTCAGATTGCTTCCTATTTTAAGCAGCTAGGAATAAAACTGCCACGAACATTCACATGCGGGTGTGCTTGTGTGAACACACATTGACATTTCTCTTTGGTAAGTAACTAGAGTGAGATCCTGGGTGTATCACAAGTGCATATTCTGCACATGCTCAAGCGAAGAAGAGAGTCTGAGGCCATTTTCTGAAGTGGCATTTCCACGAACCAATAGAGTCAGCATCACTCTGAGTGGTGCCCAAAAGTGTCCCTTTGTTCCACATCCTCACTAGGACTTCATTATAACAGTTTCAGCTCTATGTCCATTCTACTAGGAAAGGGGTGGTATCTAGCTGAGGTTTTCACTGGCCTTTCCCTAGTCAGTTAAATATATTAAGCATGCAGTAGCGTGTGATTCATGCCTGGACAAAGTGAGCAAGTGGACAGTGTTGTAGTGTGGGTAGCTTATCAGAGCCTGTGTGGGCAAAGGACCTTGGACAGAGGCATAGAGTTAGCAGTCCAAAGCCCAAGCACATCATGTTCCAATACACAGGTAATTATGAAGTGAAAAGTTTCATACTCTGAAACAAATGTCTAATAACTTCAATGACATACAGGCACCACCAAAGATACAGAAGTTTGCTCTTTGGAAGCCTCTTGCTTTGGGTAGCTAAAGGCTGGAGAAGACCTAACTGACCAAGTCTCACACTTCCTAAAATCATTTTATTTTTTGTCTGTGAAATTTGGAGGAAGTGGGTGGATGGGTGTGGGCGTGTACATGCACCATGGTAACAGGCAACCAAGAAACTCTAAGGGTGATAGGTTTGCAGGAGTCAGTCCTCTCCTTCTACCACATGAGTCTTAGGAATCTAACTCGGGTCTTTGGCTTGGTAGAAAGTGACTTTCCTTGTTGGCCCCTTAAATTGTTTTTTGGTGACTTTTATTTATTTATATATTTATGTATCTGTGCATGCACAAGCTATGATGTACAGAGGTCAGAAGGCAACTCTTGGAAGTTGGTTCTCTCCTCTTACATTTACATAGGTCCTGATGATCAAACTCACATCATTAGGCTTGTCGGGAAGTGCCTTTACCCACTGAGCATCTTGCCAGGCCACAAATTTTCCTTTCTTCTTCTTCTTCTTTCTTCTTTTTCTTCTTTCTTCCCTCTTCCTTTTTTCTTTCCTTTTCCTCCTCCTCCTCCTTCTTCTTCAAGTGACAGAAACACATGGAAGGCACTTGCATGCTGCAGTGCTCATAGCAAGAAGCTTTCTCCTACACTCTTTATAGAACAATCAGTAGCTAACAGCAAACACATCACACAATATTTCCTCACTTCTCATGCTTCTGAATTTCTTTGGGCAGTGAAACCCTCTTCTTACAGTTCTGCCTCTCTCTGAATTACACCCATAGAGAGGAACAGTCTCCAAACCTTTAGCAATCCAGAGTTTTCATTCTGGTTTTCAACCTCCCACTCTGGAGACTGCCCGAAGTTCTCTCTCTCTCTCTCTCTCTCTCTCTCTCTCTCTCTCTCTCTCTGTATAAAAGCTCAGCAACCCCCTCTCACCCGTCCATTCCACTGCTGGCATTAAAGGATGGGAAACCACAGCCAACATATCTGTTGAAGAGCTTGTCTTAATTATAGTAACAGAAGTTGAAAGATAGCCTCATTGTGGGTGTACTATTTTTGAGGCTTGTGTCCTGGGCTGCATAAGAAAGGCAAAAGTGATCTAAATTCAGGCATTCTTTCATTTATTTATTGCTCTCTGCTCTTGACTGTGGGTGCAGTATGACTGTTTCAAGTTCCTGCTGCCTTGAATTCCCCACTATGAGCTAAAATAAACTGTTTCCCGCAACTTGCTTTTAAGGGTATTTAAATTACAGCCATAGGAAGTAAAACTAAGACATTGTTTTTATGGGGGAGGACCATTTCTCTTCTGACATACTTTTCTGTTGTTTTTATTCCCTTTGTTAATGTTTCATTTAGGACATTTTGCTTATATGCCTGTTTTACTAAGATGGTCTCTAACTTTGCTTTTATCATACTGATTTTTGTTTGGATTTGTTATCAAAGTAGCACAGGTAGATAGGAAGAGGGCAGAGAGCTTTCTTTTTCTATGGAACAAGTTGGAAAAGAAAGTGTTTCAGTTTGCAGTTAAGTACAGCTAGGAATAATCCCTTGTTTTTATAAATTTATTCAAATTACCTCTGATATTATCTAAATGATCATATTGTCCATGTATTTGTGTTTTCCCACATACTGTTTCTTTGATCCATCTTGCCTATTTATCTAGCTTTGTTATTTATAAAGGTTGTTTTAGGTCGTTGCCTCTTTCGTGTTTTTGTTTTTTTCACTTTCTAGTACACTCATGTAATCTCGAAGTTTTACTAGCTTTTCAGTTCACAATTCTATGGTATTATGCAATTTTCCTTTAATTTTGGGACTTAGTTTCCTTTTAATCTACTTATATAGATGTACAGTAGGTCATATTTTGTCCTTCATAAAAGAGTTCAGCTACATTCTAGAGATTATAACATACACTTTTATGGTTTTTAGTATCTCATTTTCCTTTAAAAATTTTTTGTTATTCTTACTTTATTCATCATAATCACAGAATGTGTTATAGTACAAACCAGGCATCTCTGTTGATACAAACTGACCAACTGGTTTACATGCTGTGTGCTTTCTAAGCTGTTCAATTAAAAACTATACATGTCTGCCAAATACACACATATAAAATGTGTGTGTCCACTCAGCTGAACTAATTGTATTATGCTTTGTTTATTCTTATTAGTAGTTTTCTTTTTGCTTAACTTATCAGTTAATGGCAGTTTATATTAAGATTTCTTCCTAGGACTGTTTTATCAGTAGTTTCTCATGTCTTTTTTCAGATCTTGCTTCATATATCTTGTGGCTGGCAAGTTCATGTAAATGTAGAATTATTGCTACTGCTGATAATTTCTGCTTTAAATTTTACCCAGCTGGCTACACAGAACTACACCAGTGGTCTTCTCTGCTTTAAAGTATTCGTTCCTACTTACTGTGGTAGCTAATGTGTTTGCCTTATGCCTAAATCTTGCTCTTTGTTTAAGCCATCTTTGCTCTGCTTCTCATTTGAGTATTTGGTGAGAATTTAATGAGTTTTCCCATTTCTGAAAGTATTTTCTCTCTCTATTGTCATATAGTATTCATTCTTATTTACATAATTATCCTAAAATTAGTCTACAATTTACCTCATACAAATAAAGATGGACTAATTTCTGCCTTTTTAAAGGCTTAATCTAAAAAAAAAAAAAAAAAAATGTAGCGCATCTCTGTATCTGAGGCACCTGAGGACCCTAAGAAGGCCGGCAAGGAGCCAGAGGAATGAGTCTGAAAAGGAGAAAGCAGGTCCAAGATGGATCCAACTGTTTTTTATTGATGCAAAGCTCCCCAGACACTGAGAGAAAAGATTCGGCAGGGATGACAGGGGGTGTCATGGGAAGGCTATCCTCAGGAGCATTGATGCTTCTTAGGGGAAAATGAGTCTATTCCCTCCAGAGGAACACCACATATTCCTTGGAGAAGACATAGAACGTGTACAGACATCTGAACCAGAATTTCTTCAGACCATGTCTGGAAAACTGAAGGCACAGAGGGTAAAGCCTAATCATGGGTCCTCTTCTTTTTCTGACTTTTATAATGTCTCAGAAGATACTCCTCCTGTAAAATCAAGTACAGTGCCAAGGAGCTACTGTCTGCAAAGACATGAGGACGTGTTAATGAATGCTTACGACTCAACACAAGCCCTCAAGGAGGAACTAGGAGCATGCTATGGCATTTATTTCTCTCAATAAGACTGCCATTGCTTCAATTCCTTAGTGGTAGGTATGAAAATCAGGTGATTCATAGCTTTGCTTCATCCTAATTCCCCAACTTTAAGACTGCAGCCACACAGAGTGAGCTCAGCCCCAGCATCCCGGTGACATGGCGCCCTGAAGTGACACCTCTGCATGCATGCCGGCTGTACCCACCCACCACTTGTACTGACGTGCCTCCACCAACCAACAGACCCTCAGCTTTAAAGATCTACACAGAAAATCTGTTTCAACCTGCTTTGCATACAGGAACCACTGTTGTCTCAGAGATTAAAATCGTAGGCAACATCACCCGCTATCAAAATATGTGAGTTCTTTAGAAGGTTTTCACGTGGCTGTGTTCATTTTTCTCAATATTACTGTGAAGATTTTAATGAGCTAAAGTGTTTTTGCCCAAAATTATCCGGCTGGTGGCACAAGTTCCAGAACAGATGCTGACATTTTACGTGTAGACGGGTCCTCAATGAAGGAACGCTTGATTAAAAAGAGGGATTTAAGAGATTTTAGAAAATTCCATGTTCACCTCCAAAATATCAAATATTTGCTTTGTTTTCATTAGTGGCCTATATCTTTTTGTTTCACTATTTCTACATGTTATAGAGGCTTTTAAAATTATTAAAGCATGGACTCTTAAACAAATGTAAAATTTTATCATCTTTCTCCAAATCCATTCATGATTATAACAGAAATATAAAATTCAGGAAGTTGAAATTATTGAACAGATTTTAACTGGCAAATAGAAACTTATTACCAAAGGGCCAATTCATTTAGCTGCAATTTTATGTAGAGTTGGCAGAGTTTGAGTAAAGGCAACTTTTTCTTTTGAAAATAAATGATATCACCACTCAGACTCTTGTTTAACAACTTACTTGTAGAAACAGAAAAGCCAGGGGACCAGCTCTGGGATCAGAAGACTGGGGTAGAAGCTGGCATTCTGTGCCATAGGAGCTTAACTTTCTTCATCTGATTTCATTACTGTTTAGTCTCAATTTAAAGACTTGAGAAGGTGGTTTACACATGCTACTGTAGCCTTCACTATTATTTGACTTTATATTATTTCATGATGTACAGGCATATCAGAGGATGGTAAAATACCAATAATGTGTGCACTGACGAACTGTCTCTAAAAATCAACTTCAATGTAGGAGAACAGTGTTCAATTCACACCTGCAGCTGTAATTAAAAGGATTTCCTATAAGGGACATTTGCGTATAGGTCAGTAATAAATATACTAAATAAAAGATCTGAAACTACATTAACTGATGATTTTAAGGTTAAAATTTAATTAATACTTTTAGCTAAATAGTAATCTGAAGCTTAAAGTATATTGTTCATTGGTTTGGGTTATTTACTAAGGACCCGTCTTACCGACACTGTCCTGGGAGTCAGGAGTATTCTGTGCACTCAACAGAGATTCTGCCCTCCCAACTGGAGCTCGCAATCCATCAGAAGACACTGCTCCCCCTCTCCCCCAAAGCAAGACTTTGGCTGTCTCCTATCAAATCTTATCTTAAACCTGATAGGAACCTGGAAAGGAATGATCATCAAAGTTGGGCTTTGTCTTTTAGGATCATAATTAGTTAAAGAATTTTTAAACTTTCTTTGATTTCTCTGCTGAAGTTGAACTATTGCCTCTTTCTTTTTTTAATTATTACAATTTATTCACTTTGTATCCCAGCTGTAGCCCCCTTCCTCCTCCTACTCCTCCCATGCCCCTTCCCTAGTCTACTAATAGGGGAGGTCCTCCTCCCCTTCCATCTGACCCTAGCCTATCACCTCAGGGAGAGGTGATCAAAGAGCCAACCACTGAGTTCATGTCAGAGACAGCCCCTGTTCCCCTTACTAGGAAACCCACTTGGAGCCTGAACTGACATGGGCAACATCTGTGCATGGGTTTTAGGTTATCTCCATGCATGGTCCTTGGTCCTCAAAAAAGACTGATTCTCCAACCAAAGACCACTGCCACTTTCTTAGGGTTAGCTTTTTGTTGCTTGTCTTCCTTTCTCATTTAAGAAACACTCTCTAGCCCAAGATCATAGGCAGGGTCCCCTTGCCCTCATCTCTCTTTCTCTCTTTTATTTCTTAAAAGACATTTTTTCCAAGTGTTTTTTTAAAGTTTCCTTTTCATATTTAAGAGTTCTATACCCATGGAACTGACTTCAGGCACGCTGTAAGGTAAGGACTCTATTTCTTTTACCTCACTAACTAGACAGCCTACTGAGGCCACTTATAGCAGGCTGCTCACTCTGCCCTGGCTTTGTTTTTCCAGATGAAAAGACAACAGAGCTTGGTCCCCATATTTTCTTTCTCTACTTCTTGACTGAACCTGAAGATTCCCTGGGTGGCTCCTGTGTTTAGCGACAAGTAAAACAAACTCTTCTCCTAATTACCACCATTTTATTTACATATATTAATATACCTGATCAAACATAGCCCGGGTATATTTTAGAACAATGCATAATAAACTTAGTCATTGTTTTCAGTTACGTGAAATGATTTAAACAGCAAGCAACTACGAAAGCAGCCTATTAGCTGCCCCGACCTCTTCATTCTAAGCAACTAGGCAAGTGCTATCACTGAGCCACTAGCCTAAGTCCTGTCAGATAGATGGCTTGTTCTTTCTGTACCTCTAAAAAATCAGGTTAACAAGAGTTTCTTTTCTTTTTTCTTTTTCTTTTTTTTATGAAGAAATTGTTCTCTTAAGAACAGAAAGTTAGGTTCAGAACTGTGATAATCCTTAAGCCTCATCATATTACAATTTGTCCTTTCCACAACTGACAGGATGAACTCTTGAACTATGTGTACTGGTTCTCCACTTTAGCATTTCAAAGAAGAAGAAAGTATTTGGAGGAGTTAATCGCAACACGGAATATCATACAGAGTTACACAGCTCACTATACTAAGTAGTCAAATGCATACTCTGAAATAGATCAAAACTAATCTTTCCCAAGGACTAACAAAAGAAGCACTCATCCAATTTTCTTTCCCTGCAATAAAAATAATTGCATCAAGTAAGAATCAGTACTAGATCATCCACCATCACGGTGAGACTCTTATATACTGGCCCTAAGTAAGTGCATTAACAGCCCTCAAAGGACGCTACAGCTGTTATTCTAGCTGCAATACCATGGGGAGTGTAGAAACAGCACAGCCAATCTCATCTTGGGCACTTACTTGTATTTGTTAGTGGGATGGCATGGCTTCTCTGGGTCTCACAAAACAGAAATGGGGAGATTTAGTCTGCATTCCATACAGAATTAGAATTCTTAAACCTTTTAGAAGTTTACAGTATTTACATCAAGATCATTACCTATTATACACAGATTTTACCAATACCATTTGTGCTGATTGTATGACACTTTAAGGTTATAATTCCAAGGAATTCCAAAAATATCAGGTACGTTGGTAAATTTAGGTTTTATACCACAATGAAAATTAAAAACTTTGCTTGACTAAGAAAAATCATTTGAAATGAAATTTTAGCCTTTCTTTGTACTTTTGCGTGATTTTAGCATTTAAAAACGGGCTTTTATCTCCTATGTACTTCCTGGCTCCCATCCTAAGTGCTGGCATTACGGGTGTGGGCCGTCATGCCCAGTGGGAATTTATATCGATTTGTTTACTTATTTGGACGTATGTGGCATGGGTGCCAGATGTATGTGTGAGGGAGCGCACATGCCTGTGTGCATTCATGAAGAAGCCAGAGGCTGGGTGTGTTCCTCTATTGTTCTCTATTTCAATCCCTTAAAACTGAGCTGTTCCCGGAATGGAGCTTGCCTCTTCTGCTGTGAGTGAGTTCCGGGACTCACCTGTCTCTCTCTGCCCACAATGCTAAAGCTAAAGGCCTGCAGAGTTATACTAAATTTTTGTTTCTGTTTTTCAATTAATAACTTCTTTATTAAGGAAAAGCAAGTCAAGGTCACAGTCATATAAACACTGACATTACAAAGTACATGAACAAGGGAAAAGAGGAGACAAACCCATTACACACCTGCTAACACTGTCTCACCCAACACGACCATAACACTCTGCCTACAGCCAATCACATACAATAAACACAGGCAAAATCTTCCCTAGAAGATACACTGCTTCTCTTTGAAGGCAGCAGGTACCCCAGAAGGGTACCTTCTCTTGACAGATCTTCATGTTTATTTTAAATACTGTCACATTACTAGTTTTACATATATATATATATAGCTTCTCAGCAAAGCATTTAAAAACTACCAAAGATGAGGTGGCTGAGGACTCAGCTCCAATTATCTCCAAATACCTGTCATCTGTTCCCTGACCTTTCTTGGTTGTTTCCAGATGAACACTATTTTCTGTGGGCATCGTCAGTGTAAGGCTGGATTTCCTTGGAGCTAAATCCTGCCTACTCAGCTTTTTACATGGGTTCTGGAGATTCAGACACAGGCCCTCACACTGTCACAATGAGAACTCTTATCCACTGGGACATCTCCTCAGTTACAGGAATTTTTTTTTTTTTTTAATGGGGCCAGCATTGCAGGCTGCTGGCAGGAGACAGCAGATGTGATCCCAGCATTCTTCTAGATCTTAAGTTAGGTAGCAATAGCCCACTGTTGTTCTCTATTACAATGATTCATTATCTCACATATGCCTTAACTTTATATTGTGTATGTCAAACCTTTTATGATAACTAAAAATTTTAGTAATTTTGTAATAAGAAAGCCAGTCTCATTCTACATGTGTGGTACCTGTAAACTAAAATCAAAAACAAAAGAACTTATTATTGTCTGCCTCCAAGGCCTTGGTAATGGGTACCATCACTTCTTCCAATGGTAGACAGTGGTCAAAAGCATGGCAGTGGCAGGCTTCCTTCTACATCTGCCCAGTTTCCATGCCCTTTCCATCCAAGACTCTTACGAATTCATAAGCAATTGTAAGCAGGCGACTAGAGCTGCAACAATTACCTGCTAAGTTTGAAGCATCAGCAGGGCTCAGCTGTAACCAATGGCGGGCATCAGAGTCAGCCACAGCATCCGTGGGGGTGCTTAGCTCCGGGTCCTCTTCACAGCTCTGCCACGCATTCATGGGTAGTTCTGGCTCATTGCTGTAGCCCACAGCTGTGTCACTACAAGTACTTTCACCTGGCACACAGAGCAACCAAAGGTTGAGACTGAAGCTACATGAAGATAAGGTTCAAAATTATCTCTATGTAAGTAACAACACTTACACAGCTGACAGGATTTGCTTAGGGGTTTGGGCAGAACATGAAGAAGCTGGTTGGGGTTCAGTAGTATCCCTGATAGACACCTGCTTAACAAAAATGGAACTTCCAAATACAAGGCATTAAAAGGCTTCATGAAGTAGTATTCTAGTCTTGTTTTACTCAATTATTCCATGCGTCCCAAAGTTACACCAAGTCCTAGCTCCTGTTAGGATCCATTGATAACATGAGAAGACAGTGAGACACAGTAGTCGGTAACTGACTTCACAGCATTGCAAATTCACTCTAGCGTTTCAAGCCCAATATTAACCCCAGGCTCAATCATATGGGCAGATCCCAGAACGAGGTGTCCTGCTACTACAGATCTGCAACACTGGAAATCCACTCCTTTAAACACTAGAAGTTTAAATTTGTCACAATGTAATTATGGAGAGACTTTAAGACTTAGGCAGTTACTTATTTAATGGGGCACAAGACAAACCGAGACAATTCTGCTGTGTGAGGTCACCTGACTACTTCTTAACAATGCCCAGTCAGCCCTTTCCTTCTGCTGCTGATAGGGCCTCAGCTGTGCTGTCTCTACTGCTGGCCTCTATCCACTTGCAAAAAAAAAAAAAAAAAAAAAAAAAAAACAAAAAACAAATGTTATCTCAATAAGCAGATGACCCATCCGTTTACTCTCAGATAGCATCCTCCACAGAGCTACAGGCAACAGAGAGGGAAGGCAGGGCACAGGAAGAGCTCCATTACACAGCACCAGGGCCAGCCCAGCATGCCTCCGAGTACAGGAGAAGAGAGCCCAGGGCCCAGACTTTGTGGCATATGACAATGTCTCAGGAGTCCAGTGAGATTTTCATTTTCACTTGCCCACTGACTTCAGTGTACCTCTTTGTGTTCCTTCTCTGTGGGGACTTTGTGGGAAAGGAGGCTTTCCCTTATGGGTCTGTCTGTTCCCCTTAGTCCCTCTTGTTCCTCTCACCTGGAGAAAGGCACAGGTATGGAGAGACAGGCCTCTTGTACAGGTAACTGACTAAAACTATTTTACCAACTGGATTAAGTACATAATTTCTAAGTTCCTAGATCAAAACTATTCCCCACAACCACCTCATGCCTACTTACAACATAACACTCCACTTAGAGAAGAAACTAAAACAGGCCCATTCTGCAGCAAGCATGAGCAAACCCTGTTTCCTGGAACTTACTCTTCTGTCTCTCCCTGCATCTTCCATGTGTCTGTTGTAAATCATCCTTCAGATCCAGCTCAGCAGGACTGCTGCTCCTTCGAACCAAGATCTTCAGACAAAAAGAAATGCTGCTTTCATTACCAGAAAGTTGAAACTTTTACCAGACTGTTAAGTTCCTAGCCTATTTTTTAATAAAAGGAGCAATAAGAGTAGTAAAACACTGAATGATATTTTCCTTTTGAAGGATGTGTTCACAGACTAGTATAATTAACTTCTGTTTCTTAAGATCGGAAACTCTAAGTCAGCTGACATAGCTGTAGGGATATACAGAGAAGGGATGCCAAATCCTGTGGAAGTGGTTTATTTTAAAGTTTGATTTGCTTCTCTAGTCAATTGCACACACAGCTCTCCAGGAGGCCTGGGCTCCCATGAATGTTTAGGCACAAATGATACATAATCCACCCAGAGTTCCAAGGGCTGCTCAGAAACCTCCTAGTTGCTGTGCTACAGAATTTTCTGACCACTGGTGACCACTGGACCTTATGTTACACACAAACGCTTAAAAATCAGAAGGTGCTGGGTGGTGGTGGCACCTTTAATCCTAGCACATGGGAGACAGAGGCAGGTGGAGCTCTGAGAGTTTAAGGCCAGCCTGGTTTTTAGAGCGAGGTCCAGGACAATGAAGGTTACACAGAGAAACCCTGTCTCAAAAGAACAAAACAGACAAAAAATCAGGAGGTAACTTGTATCGTCTAGCAACGTATAGATTGCTTGAATCATACACAAACTACACAAAATAAATAATACACATAAGCAAAATACGCAAACATACTCTCTGTGAAAGGTATATAAAATAAAATGTTAGCTTAGTCAGCTGACAGTTACATTAGAGCTATGCAAGAAGGTAACAGACATGAAGTGGAAGAGAAAAGACAGGCAGGAACTCAAGGCAGAAAGCACAAACTGGTAATCAGTAAGATCTACATGCAGGAAAGAGAGCTGATTATAACAGGCCATGCAGGGCAGCCAGAAGGAAAGAGAGGGGAAATACAGGCTCTGTGACAGAGGCAGGGGGCAGGGAGACTTTAACATGAGTTTGAGAACTCTGACCAATACTGACAATAGGAGCAAGTACACATTCTGGACAGTAGCCAAGTGTACTTACACCACAACCAGAAGGACCATTCCAGTACTTGTGCATGTGAGTGTTGGAGAAGAGAGACCTGCTAATGGAACTGTGAGGGCAGCTATTAAGGAGGGGAAGGAGAGAGAAAAAGGAGAATGCTGCAGCGTGGGACTAAAGCTTTCCACAGTGTGTGTGAGCATGAGAAAGTTAAGTCACAGAACAATGAGAATGATGGTTGACAAATAGAGGCAGGGAGAAAAGTGGAAAGAAAAAACCAGTCTTATTTCTGGTTTCTTATTTCTTTGGGCTGACTAGTCAAAGAAAATTAAATGGACAACAAAAAAGATTCCAAAATGGTGGGACAGAGAAGAAAGCCAGGAATGAGATAGAAACATTTCTCCACCAAAGGATATAAAACAAAAACAATGCCCAGGTCCCAAAGCCTGAGATTCAAGAACCAGTTAAAGCAAACGAATAAAAAGGGAGAAAATGTATAATCAGAGTTACTAGTCTTCGAAAAAGGAAGTCATGAAGTATTTACAAAACTCATGCTATATGAAAATTACTACACACATTAATAAAGTGCTTTATATCAAGTGACCCAAATAATAAGAGACTCATGGTATTGCCTTAACTACAAAGTAGAATGTGGGCTCATTGCTTCTGATTCTAGAGAGACAAGATGCCCAACTGTAGAACTCATCCACTTCACTTCACACTGGAGCTCAGACCTTCAAGTGCTATCCTCATAAACAGAGCTCAAAGCAATCCAATGACCTATTATAAGGGTAAAGCCAGTGCTATCATTGCTAGTGGCAAGAGAACTGACCAAAGCAGCAGTTCCTGATTGCTGAAGATGAAAATACAAGCGCTTTCCTAAAGAGTCCTCTTCAAGCTCGACACTCAGGTTTTCCACAGATGCAGATAAGCCAAGCGGGTAACTCACAAAGGTCACCAAACAACTCAGGAAACAAACCGCCAGCCATAAGAGTATCAGAAAAACCCTAGATAGATTCCAATGCCCAGAGGAATTCAGCATATCAAAGAGAAAATTAGAACTAAAATTTATGAGCATTTTACAAGCCTAAAAGATGGAATGAAATGACCAAGTAAAAAGAGATTATTAGAAGTTACAGATATATTTAAAAGAATCCATTTGAACTTTGAAGCAAAAGTATACTTGTGAGGTAAACACACACACACACACACACACACACACAAACACCATCTCAATCGAAGAATGAGAGCACAAACCCCCTACAAGTGCAAAACTAGATCCACAGGAACTCTGCTTGCATTCTGAGGCTCGTAGGAAGCACCTCTAAGGCTAGCTCCAAAGGTCGGATTATTGAACTGATGAAAGACAGAAGACACTTTTTTAGGTGAAATAACCCAGACTGCAACCATAGAGCCAAGAAGAATGGAAAACATGAAAGGAGGCTTAGGACACATGGGAGGCAGGGTAAGAAAGTCTATTTCTATCTAGAATTCTGAAACAAAAAAAGGGTGATAGTATTTGAAGGCATTATTACAAGATTCCTCTAAAATAGCAGAAGAAAGGCATCCATGGATGCACAGACATAGCATCTACCAGAATGAACAAATGTATTTGCCACATGAATTCTGTACTTGGATGCTCTGCAATGAAACTTGAGGACAATGACAAAGACCAACAAGAAACAACTAGACAAGATAGAGAAAAAAAAATCTCAATACCAAACAAAGACAAAAGGTAGTAGAAAACTTCCACCAGAAGAAGTGAACACAGGACTATGGTTGTCAAGATGCTGTTCAAGACAAAACACCCAAGAAGCAAATGAAGGCTGATATATCCAGGAGACAGTATATATGACGGAGATGTGGTCTTTCCAATTAATAAAGGAAAAGTAGATTCAACAAATGAGACTTAGAAGAAGCAGTTAAGGGGAACTAAGAAGAAGCAGTCAAGCTAGAGCACCCCTCCCTCCATAAACAAGAGCCACTTCCAGGTAAATAAACTTGAAAGTGTGGAGCAAAAGTGAGGTATTTTATATAACACAAATAAAAGATCCTTTTGTAGTTGAAGTTTTTTGATTTCATAAAATATACCATAATAAAGAATATCAAAAAGAAGAATTTGTGTTTACCAAAGATACCGAAGTAAAAAGCAGCCACACACGGTAAGGTTGTCTGTTACAAACATAGTCAAACTAACATGAGTAGTTTGTCAGTCTTTAGGCTATACAAAGAACTAACACAGGAGAGAGTAAATGAGAAAAGCCATTAGCTGGCATTTCACACATGAAACATGAACAGCCACTCAACATGGAAACCTTAAAGCTTATTAGTAATCTAAGAAATTCAAACACAATATCCCATTTCCACGCAGCTAACCTGCAAAACCTTTAAAAGTCTAAAAACACAAAGTGCTGGTGAGAACTCTTTACACTGCTGGTAGAGATATAAGTGGCACACTTATATCGTAGGGAAGGAGCATTCTATTTTATTGTGTATTTTATTAATGCTACTGCTAGACAAGCACACAGAGAAACATTTGAACATGGAGATCTTGAGAACTATATAAAAAGGTACATGGCCGTACCTTTCAGAAAACTAAAACACTGGAAAGACTCTAAATGCCCATCAATGAAAGAACAGAAAAATAAGTGATAATATTCATAGTGAAATATACAGCAGAGAAAACTCAAATGAATTCTTATATAATAGCATGTGAATACTCTAGAAACATACAACTGAGTGAACAAAAAAATAGCACCTGCAGGATATTTTAGAAACTTCAGAAACTAAGGAATATATTGTTTGAAGCCATATGCATGCAAATGACAGAGTAATACAAAGCCAACACCATGCCACTGTGAGAGAAGGCAAGAAAAGGGAGTTAAAAATCCAAACAAGCCTTTAATCTCAGCACTCAGGAAGCAGAGGCAGACAGATCTCTTTGATCCAGCCGGTCTACAGAGGCTACACACACACACACACACACACACACACACACACACACACACACACACAAAACAAAAACACAAAAAAACAACTCTGTCTTTAAGATCCAGCTATAGCACGCCTAGGCATATATCCAAAATATGCTCAAGTACAAACCAAGGACATTTGCTCAACCATGTCCATAACAGTTTTATTTGTATTAGCCAGAATCTGAAACAACCCAGATGTCCCTCAATGGAGAAATGGATACAGAAAGTGTGGCACATTTACACAATGGAATACTACTCAGCAATTGAAAGCAAGCAAATCATGAAATTTGCAGGCAAATGGTGGAAACTAGAAAAGATCATCCTGAGTGAGAAAGATACACGTGGTATATACTCATGTATTAGAGATATTAGACATCATGGTATATACTCATGTATCAGAGATATTAGACATCATGGTATACACTCATGTATTAGAGATATTAGACATATAATATAGGATAAACATACTAAATCTGTACACTTAAAGAAACTAATTAAGATGGGTAAGATGATAAATCCTCACTCAGAAAGGCAAATGGGACGAACCTTGGAAGAGGGAGAAAAGAGGGAACAGGACAGGAGCCTAACACAGGGGCCTCTGAAAGACTCTAGCTGCCAGGGTATCAAAGCAGATGCTGAGACTCATAGCCAAACTTTGGGCAAGTGCAGGGAATCTTATGAATGAAGGGGGAGATAGAAGGATCTGGAGCGGACAGGAGCTCCACAAGAAGAGCAACAGAACCAAAAAATTCCGGCTTAGTGAACTTTTCTGAGACTGATACTCCAACCAAGGACCATGCATGGAGATAACCTAGAACCCCTGCTCAGATGTAGCCCAAGGCAGCTCAGTGTCCAAGTGGGTTCCCTAGTAATGGAAACAGGGACTGTCTCTGACATAAACTGATTGGCCTGCTCTTTGATTACCTTCCCCTGAGTGGGGAGCAGCCTTACTAGGTCACAAAGGAAGATAATGCAGCCAGTCCTGATAAGACCTGATAGGCTAGGGTCAGAGGGAAGGGTAGGAGGGCCTCCCCTATCAGTGGACTTGGGGAGGGGAATGGGATGAGATGAGGGAGGGAGGATGGAATTGGAAGGGAGGTGGAAGGGGGTTACAGCTGGGATACAAAGTGAATAAACTGTAATTAATAAAATAAAATAAACACTATAAAAAGAAAATAAAAAAAAAATAGTAGATAACAAAACAAAATAAACCAAAACCAAAACAAAACAAAAGCAACAAAATTGGTGGCTAAAGCAACAACACCATAAATTGTTTTGGTGCTTGGGTAGGAATGGGTTTATCTGAATCTGTTTCATTGCAAAAATCAAGATCTATACAAGCGAGCTGACACATGCCTTTTTAAAACAAATAAATACAAGAACTCAACTTTGCTATCTTCTAAACAAGTAGCAGCAAGGAAGGGACCCTTATGTTTTATGTTTCTGAAACACCTATGTTTTCTATAAATATATACTGGATTTTAAAACACAAATAGAGATTATGAGTGAGTTATAAGCCATTTCTTCTTTATGTTTCATATTTCTTTTTTAAATGAGTACCTTCTTTACAAAATCAAACAAAACCATACCAGATATGCTTTAGGAATACTGTGTCAGGTAGAGGCTATCATCTAAAATACAAAAATGGGAATCTGAAATCAAGATTTTACAGGGAAGTACACCTGCCCAAAAATATATTGTACAACAGGAGACCAGGCAGTAAACCCCCACTTCATGCAGACCCCTCCTTCCATTTTTGTAGAATGACTGTATTTTATCTAGAAAGCAAGTACAACCTTAAGTGACTTCAAGATTATTTGGACCTCTAATCAATGTAAATGGGAAAAATGTATAACTACCATCAATAAATTCATTATTGTGGTATAATTTATGCTTGGTTTACAATAACAAAGGGATTTTCTCTTGGAAGTCTTACTGTTATTCCTTCATGCTCATGCTTCACATGTCCTTTATTCTCTTGAACAGGCTTGGGTTCTGAAGAGGTCAAATTCTGTGAATTTTCTACCCTTTGACCTAGAGATGGGGTAAAAATAATAAAATGAATGTTGGAGAAGGTAAAAAAGGAGACAGGCAGACTGAAAGGCAGGCAGGGTGGCAGAGGCAGAAACAGATAGATAAACCATTTTATCCACATGTTGTGGGGTGCACAGAGGAGCTGGTGGCTTTGGGTCTGCACTGGCAGCATCTATGCACGCGATCTACACAGAGGCCTGGCCTTGAGCTTCAACTGGGGCAGATGGAAAGCTGATCACTGTGGCTCAGTGTACTATGCAGTGAACTATGCCGGATAGGCACATGCAACACATCACTCCAGGGAGCTGGGCTTGGAGACAGATCTGGACAAAGGGCTGCCTGGGCTGGCCTGTGATACAACTAGAAGGGAAGACCAGAACAGCTCGGGGTTTGTTGCCTGAATATGGAGACTAGCACAAGAAAACAGAGACAGGGTCAATGATTTAAAAGGGAATGCCACCACAAAAACTGCAAAGATTTAAGAAAGATCATAAGGACATCTGATGAATAATCTGGAGCCAATAAATTTGAAAGAAATTAATATATGAACCAGTTTCTAGCAAAACATCAAAGCCAAATTAAGAAAAATCAAAGTAGTCTCACAATTCTTTAATTTGTAATTTTTACATGGCAAATACTGTATTTTTACCTCTTATTATAACATGCTGTTTTTGAAATCTGCACAGGTAAGTCACCGTAATCAGCTTATGTACTATCTCATATACTCATGTGATCAGAGTACTTAAAAATCAATCTCCTCTTGGAGGTCGGAGAATGTGCAGGTTCCAGGCCAGCCTAGGCTAATGGAGACCCTTTAACAAACAAGCAATGCTCTCTGAACTCTTCAGGAAGGAAGCACATGAGCACTAGATTGCTGGAGCTTTTCTTCTCTCAGGTGAACTTTATTAAAATTTGAAAGGATCTAAAAACTTTCTTTTAAGAAAACCCCAAGCAACTGGTGTATTCTCCCAAATATTTAAGGGAATATTGTTTGCTTTGTTTCTCCTGATAGTCCCAAGGATAAATTCCAGGCTTCCTATATGTTGGGCAAGTAGTCTACCACAAAGTAAGTGTGAGTATATATGTGTGTGTGTGTGTGTGTGTGTGTGTGTGTGTGTATGTGTGTGTGTGTGTGTGTGTTATCTCCATCCCTAATGATCCACATAAAACCCTTTAAAGAGTAGAAATTTTTCAGATAATATATTTTCTCATCTTTATTTTTGCTATAATTTATGTCAAGGGAGTTTTTAAGGAAAAGCTTCCCTTCTCATTTGCTAACTCTGGTAGTAGAAGACAGGAGATTCTGCTGACAAACAAGGCAGGTTGTTTTCTGACTGACTCATGGAACTAAAGTGAAATTGCCAGTACATTTACTGATATCTGTACACACTGAAGTGTGTTTTTTCACTGCAAGATACACTGCCACTGCCTGCAGCTTTGGTAACAACTGCCTGCCTCCTCACTTCCACACCCTATTTGCTGCTGAAAAGAAGAGAAACCAGATGCATGCTCTGAAAGGGTTCCTACCGACCTCAGTGAAGCCTGTGGGTTGCTAATACACAGCTGGCCAGCTTTCATGCCCATCCCAACCCCTCTAGCTCTTCCCATAGCTGGCCCTCCTGCCTCTCATGCTTCCTTCCTGCCTTCTGACTTGCTAAGCTTCTTTTCTCTGGGATCATTCTTTGTACCTCCTACTCTAGTCACTCGGGCCCCTCTCTAGTACCCAGTCATGCCAAACTTGAAGAGAATAGATGTATATGTTAAAAGAATATATTAAAAAGCAAGAAGGTTTGTGTCCAGAAGTCACATTCTTACAGTCAGATTAAAAAGTAAACATAGGGCTGGGGAGATGGCTCAGAGGTTGCTGTACAGGCCTGAAGGCCCAAGCGCAGATCCCCAAGTAAAAAGCTGGATGAGGCAGCATGGGGCAACCTGAGGCAGGGCAGGGGGAGACAAGAGGCTCCTCAGAGCTCACTGGTAAGCTTTCAGATAAGCAAAAAGTTTTGCCTCCAAATAAGTAAGTAAATAGTTTGAAAGTCATCGGAAAAGACAGCTCACAGTCGTCTCTGGCCTCTAGACATGTACACATGTGCACACTAGCAACACATACACACAACATGCAACCTCCCTCTCTCTCCTTCACTCCCCCCCCCGAAATAAATATTTAAAATAACCGTAATAGGCAATACTACCTGCAGCTTACCACCATCCCAAGCCCATCCCTGTACTTGGGAGGCAGAGACAGGAAGGGCCTGCCTGACGAGGCCAACCTGGGCAACATACTGAGTTCCAAGCCTGCCACAGAAAAAGAGGGAGACCCTGTCTCAAAATTAATCAGCCAGTCAAAGAACTGACATTTCTGCATACCTTGAGAAGAATCTAAGCACAAAGGCTCAGTAATGTCGGAGGTGCTGCTGCTCCGGGGGACCTGCTGCTGTCCCACCACAAGATAATCAGAGTCCGCTGCTGGTGTGTTCTCAGCCTGTTGGAACTCCTCCACTTCTGAAAGCATTAACACACAACATGCAGGAGTATGGTCGGAGATTTAAAACAAACAAACAAAAAACACTTCACACTTAACTGATTTAACACATTAAGTTTCAGATTTTGTTTGTTTGTTTGTTTGTTTGTTTGTTTTGGAAACCAGACTGCAGTGAGACACTCTGCATGCACATCACCATACTTCCTACTTATTAACACTAACACCCCATTCTATGAATACACTTTTCTCAAGTTCTAGTTAGCCTTTTGTTTTCCAGGTGAAGGAAGGGGGCAAGGGAAGAAATCCACAAAGATGGTTGATAACACTGAGACATCTGAAATTTCCCAGCACAAAGGAAAGACTCAGCCATGTAGGAAATGAATAGATAGATAATAATACGAGAGCACAGGTGGTACCAACACTAAACTAAGATGAAAGAAAACAAGAATCCCAACTGTACTCACCCTTCTAATAGATAATGTAAAGTGTACAAAAGAAAATAAATACTATTTAATACTCACATGACCATGTACAAAGTTGAACTAGTCACAAAGCACAAAATGATCTATATGGTATAAACTGGAATACTAAACATAAGCATTCAACATCTGATAATCTTGCTAATACTTTACATCCTCTATTCCCCTAAAGGAATAGAGGCTTCCCTTCTAGTCCATTTTTAAAGTGCACAATTCATTTTAATCTTTTAAGAGCAGCCACGACACCCTCCCCCTCCCTCTAGACTCACAGCCTCAGGATTGCATCATCTCTGCTTAGGCCATGTGCGCAGCATGTTGTTCTCTACTCAGCCAGCAGAGAGGCCCCTCTACAATGAAGGTGCGACTGCGTCTGGCATCAGTCAGCTCTGTCCTGTGTGGGGTGGGGCCTGTCTCACTCCTACCCCACAAATGGATCCCTAATCATGACGCAGGAGTTTCCACTCTCTGTAGTCTCTGAAACACTGATCCTCTTGGCACCTTCTGTTCTCTTCCTCCTGCTCTTCACTCCCCTCTGCTAATCTGTCCCCTGTTCCCTGCCCCTCATCCCCATGCTGCAGCAAGCATGTACATATCTTGTTATGAATTCCACATGCAAAGCCATGGCTCAGTTCTTCACTAGACTCCAAACTCAGTGATGAGGTCATAAAACTTCATATCCCCATACCCATGTCACCATAAATCAGCTAAAGTTTTACGACTTTAAAAAGAGAGTTCCCAAAACCCAGACTATGTTATTTTAACTGACTCTGTCACCTAGTTGCTCAGCTGCAATGGAGCTTCATTACATGGGTGGTACTAGTCCCATGTAAAGTCCTCCCATTTGGACATAAGCCACAGTGAAGACTCACTCCTCCTAAGGAGATTTGTGTGCATAGGATGAGTCTGGATTTAATACATGGGATTTCCACAAAGGATGGCTCTTCTGCTTTGTTCCACCCAAATGAAAATTCCATGTTCTGCTATACTAGTACAACTGCAAGGCCTCAAAACCATGAGCTTTGTGCAAGTCTTTGCTATGAATCAAAGTTTCAACTAGACCATAGTTTAAAGGTGGAAGCTAAAGAGAACCTGAGTACAAGAGAAAAGATGGGCCAAGATGGCATGAAGAGACAGTTTCATCTTTCCTAGGTCATCTTTGCCTAGTGCTTCTCCTGAGCTACAAAGAAGTGTTTGTTTTTCCACAGAAGACACACAAGGTATATGTGCAAATTTTTAATCTACCTATGCATTCCAGAGCGAAAACTAGACTCTTTTCACAGGTCTGCTAGAGTAATTAGCAACAGAGCCCTCAACACTATGGGGCCAGCCCTTCCAGTTATCTTCTTATTCTAATTTTACAAAATGGTGAAAGGAAGATATTAAATTCTTCACTCCTGCATCAGCAGAGGGAGCCCAAGAGCTTCCAAACTTTCTAAAAAATAATTGGTCAGTGGCTGTTTTTGTGGACAAAGGGAAGAGTGGGTTTTTCTCTCTGAAGCCTGGTGCCAAACACTGGTGGATGCCAGTTTCTGGGCTCTGAGCAGGAGTAAATAAGAGCTGAGCCAACACTGGCAGTGTCTTTCTAAAGAGAAAGAACATCGCCATCTGGTGGGGTGCAACACAGCCACAGCACCGTGGCTTCCAAATTAGAGTGTCCCCACTGGTCCTCAACACAGCAGACGAAGGACGAGGAGCCTGCTACCACCAGCTGTCCGCCTTTCCAACAGACAGGTCTAATACATCTCTTAAGGCTTTGTTTTTCCAAAACTGTTAAGAGGGACTTCTCAGATGGAGAAAGTCCAAGCCTGTAGAAATGACAAGGATGGAAGAATAGGCCACAGGAAGGGAAGGAAGGGAACAGCTACGAATCTTGCTGTTCTCTTAGGCTTGGGCTACCCTTGGAGTTGACTATCAATTGAAAAATGTGTTAAAAAAAGAATTTTCAATTATTCTTATGTTGTAACATAAATCCAACTTGCTGATTTGAAGATGTACATGACTTGTTTGTGTATTCAAAATGAGCTCTATACAATAAACAAGAGAATAACACTCTAACATCCTTTTCTTCCTAACGCTTCTCGGTCTCCCTCTGCTGCATGCTGTGGTTGAAGAAAAAGTATGGTGGGCTGTGGCTGCTCCCATTGACTGTGTCCTGTTGAGCTGCTCTTTTGTAACTAATGAAAATGATCTTAATGCTGAAGTAAAATGTATAGGCACAGGATTGCCTGTCAAACAGAAAAAGAACATCTGAGTTACATAACAATTGTGCAATAAATCTCAGATTTGACGCATCCTGTTTTGAATGTCACATGATTTCTGTTTGAATCACTTTGAAGAGCTGAATTCTGCCTCAGATTCTAACTTCATTTCTGCTCTGTGAAGTCTAGTAACAGCCAATTAAAAGTACTAACTTTTCTGTCTCTTGAGGCTATAGTTACTCAACACCATTCCTAACCCACTGCTTTCTAAAGCTCCAATGAAAACATCAGCAAAATGAACAAAAGGATTCTTTTACCCCCACTGAGAAAAGAGCATGAGCGAAGTAAATGTGTAAGCTCTTCAGTTAATTTCTATTTTCTCCAGATGTCTGTCTACTTTTCACTCATTCTTTAATTCCAGACTTCCTTATTCCATCTTATTAAATATAGCCAAGGCTCAGTCTCCAATAAGTAATATTCTATGTTCCATTTATCCCACATACAAGGCTCCATAAGCAAAATTAGAATGTAAGGTCTTAATTTTAAAAACATCATTCATGATGCCAACTCAGCCTTACAAAAGCTCAAAAGATGCTTTCCATTTAACACTTCAGCTCCCCAAAGTCAGGCTTACTGAGAGTAGTTAGTCCAGGTCCTAACAAGAAGCACTTCCATGCAGCTTATGGAAAGACGGAGAAGTAGCTATGCAAGGACCATAAGTTGGGGTGAGGAAAAACAGTCAATCTGCTAGTTATAACCATTACAATATTCCCAAAATAAAAATGAAAATCTACCCTTGCACATAACAGATTAAGTGACAGATGTCCCAACACAGAAAGCAGTTGACATTCCAAGGCAGCCGGGAGGGAATGTTTTCATTTAGGAGAAAGGGGACTCCCCAGCTGGCACGCCTTCTTCCCAGGTGCATGGTGTTCTCAATACTCAGATTAATGGAAGCGGGTCGTTTCGACTCTCCCCAAATTTAAACACCACTGCTTTCCACACCTCCAAATCTACCACCACTGTTTGTATTATTACAGTTTTGGTGGACTGATTCACGCAGATTAGAAACCAAAACAAGGACTGCTGCCATAATAAAATTAGCAACCACCAATACAATAAAACAAAAGGAAAAGGAAAAAACAAACAAACAAACAAACAAAATACTCAACTTGTAGCCAGAAAGGAAAATTTAAAGAACCTGCTTATCATTTAGCCACAGATTAGCAAAGAGATAGCCACGAACTCAGATGTACATCAGAACACAGCAATGCTACAAATCTCCAGCCAGGAAGAATATACACTCCCAGGCCTGGCAAACACTTCCCTTGGCCGAGTCTACTGACACTCTAACTAATGAAGGACAACTGAGAAGTACTCGTCACTGTAGCTGTCAGATGAAACAGCAGCAGCAGTGTGTCTTCAGGGTGACCCTGCTATAAAACCACGGGTGAAGATGGCAGAGACGGGCAAACACGAGTCTGGTCCAGCTTGCTCCACTATACAGGGCTATAGTTTTTGCCCTATTTGCATGATGAGTATTTGAGGCTTGGCCATTTCTGCTGTAGGCTTGTCTCAGCAGAGGTACTTAGCAGCATCTCTAGCTTCTACCTACCAGATCTCACTATGACAACCAAAAATGTCTCTAATTGTTACCAAGTCATCCCTAGTTGACGGTAACTGCAGTAAATAACTCAATTTCTGCTGGAGCCATGTACACACACATAAGAACCAGGAATTTGAGTAAATCAAAATAGTAATTCTGAATAAGAACAAAACTTTTAAAATAAAGTTATTAATAGGAAGAATTTTTTTTTTTTCCTGAGAACATATCCCAGAAAAACCAGTGAGAAAACTTAGGTGAGACAGTATGGAAATAAAATAGACAATGAGATAAAACTTTTCATATTAAAAAATTTCTTAAAAAAAAAATTTCTTTCTGGTGTCAATCAGCAAAATGTATAGCAAACTATTTTAAAGACCTCCTTAATCACCACTAAGAAGAAACACTTTCTAGACAATCTAAACCTCAAACATTTACGCAGCAGCTTAACTAATGGTGGCCGCTTTCCAATGCTATCCTTACTGTTTTCACACTCAAGTGTTCACTAAGTGCATTTTCTAAGCAACATTATAGTCCACACTTTCAGCTAAAACTAACTTCTTCCCTCATGGTATTTTACTTAAGTTTTGAGTTTTGTTTTGTCAAACTACAATAGTGCTACTGTGTTTGTGCTACAGAAACCATCATCAGACTATCTCCAGTATTTAAAAAGTCAAAATCTATGTGTCAGAATTCAGAACATAAAAGGAACATGGGAAAATCTCCCTCTTAATTAAAATCTGGTTCAGCTAAAAGTCACTGAAGATTATCTCTTTGTAGCTATAATTATTCACCACAGGTAGTAAATTCCCTTTGAGAACTGACTAGGCAAAACATGAGGAAACTTGGTTTTGTTACCATGACATCCTCCCGTATGACTGGCATGGTGTAATCACACACTGTGGCATCCTGATGTGTGGACAGTGTGGGCAACGTGACGTCAGACCAGGATAACTAGTGTATCCATCACTCTTGGCATTTACTTGACAAGTTCTTTCGAACACTCTACTCTGGCTACTTCAAGATACACAATGGATTATTAACTATGTTCACCTTACTGTGCTGGGTGCGATAACATCATGAGAAAAAAACACAAGTGAGCTCAGTTCAGTTTCTGGGGGAAATCTAAGGATAGAATGTTTTGAAAATTAGGACTGTTTAGTTTTTACTTTTTTTTTTTTTAACTAAAACCTCAAATATCAGCATGAATCTGATAACTAGCAGGATTATAGAATTTGTGAGTACCTACTTGCTACTAAACATGAACTACACAAAAATAACCATTAATATTCTTTGAAATTTAACACAAGTGCAATAAGCAGCCTTCTGAGTGTGACTCGGGTGAGTCATGAAGCAAGGCCTAGGGCAGGAGGGAGAAGCCTGGGGACACGGATGGACACATGAGACAGCATTACAGTACCTGACAGCCTGTGAGAGCAAGAAGAGTAAGAGAAACCAGGTAAGAGAGCGCTCACGGTATGGAGGAGGAGCGGGACGCTTTTAGTGGCAGGCAAAGGCTCAGAGAGGTGGACACAGTTGCTGATAGATTGGCTTCGCTTAGCTTCCAGGAGAGATAAAGTAACATTGTATCAGAGCACATCAAGACCTTTCACCGCTTCTAAGTTCTAAGTGCTGCATTTCCTTTAAACATTTAAAGGAAACGTTTAAAAGTCAGTAAAATGAGAGAACACAATCACAGTCTCTAAATACAGCCAACGTTCAGCCAATCACTGTTGACTTAGAACGATCAGTCCACACAAGGAACAAGTTTCATTTGGAAATGCTTCATACATTTCCTTTTGCTGCTATGTATCAGAGCGTACGAGAATGAGACAGCATTATTGCATTATTAACACACTACTATCTCTTCCTAAAGACTACACATACAAAGAGCACAGAAGAAAAGGAAAACCTGGTCCAAGAGAAAAATTTTTCTATTAAGTAATGAACAATTCAGAAATTGATTTACTGAGAGCTGACTGTATTTAAAAACTCACCATTTAGTAAACTAAGTATCTCAAAGTCATGTAATCATAACTACATACATGACTCAGGTATTGTACTTGATATCCATGAAACCTATCTTTTTATATTGTATTTCACATTTAGTTTAGCCAAAGTTTCTCAATATCAACTTTTGATTTTTCTCATACATTGTTGGTTAAATAAACATATAATAAGAAAAACACGGAACATGCTTCAAATACATAAAACTACAATAAACAAAATCAATGTTACCCTTAAAATTAAAATACAAAGGATTATTTGCTATGCTAATATATTATGTACTTCTGCTATGCATAAGTTAAAAAGAAAAACTATATACAAAGGTGGCACATTTGCAAAAACTGAAACAAACTTTTTACTTTACTATCCCTTCCCCTATCCCTTGCTATCAGTGTTCCCAGCAATGAGATTACTATATAATTCATGAATGTGTAAGAAAATGTACCTAGGGAAACACCATGTGAATGTCGAAGTGTAAAAGGTTTCTCTCCATATGCAGCCAGCACTTTTATCTGGGCATTGTTTAAAGAGCTTTCCTTTTATAAAGCAAAATGATTGTACGTTTTTCCAAAATGGATCACCATGCATTTTAGAAATAGTAAAATACTAGCTGTTTTACATGGCAATTAAGACATACTTTGATCACTCTCAGAGTTTAAAAGTCTGAATTCTCACCATCATTGACAATCAGGGCCAAAGTTATCTTTGACCTCTTTAAGTACACTCTGATGTCCTTTGTTAAATCTATTTCCCTGGTGTCACCGCCAGTGACCTCGTTAGCTAACTCAAATCTATAAGGTAAATCATTATGTGAACACCTTAAAATGCTCTCTTAAAGAGATTAGAGAAACAAATTTACTTTTGAGAGGCTATTCCATAATAATTATTACTAGCTGCTATTAATTCCTCCAAAGAGCACTGAGAATTGTCTCCATAAGCTTCTATACTCATAGAAATGCCTTCTACACACTCACGGTACAGGGAAAACACTTGGGGCTTTGTTAAAAAGTAGGAAAATAAAACTGAGTAAAATCACCTGTGTATATTAGTCTTATTAAACAGCAAGATATACAAAAAATATTCAAAGTCTATTAATAGGTAACAACTGTTTCACAACATTTATCATTTTAAAAGGTATAAAACACAATAGAAAACGCATATATACGCACACGCGTATACATAAAACATAAAGATAACAGACTCATGCAACTGACAGTCTTCACAGTCTCGCAAACACAAATGGTTCTAGACTTTTAAAATGTAGTTACTTCTCTAAAAGCCAACCTTATAGTTTTAAAGTACATATTCCACAAATATCTTTACAAAACCTTTGCAAACAGTTGGTCCAATGTCAAGTGGACCCTCAAATACCTGAGAACATAGTTAAACATAACTTGCCTTTCCTGTGTGCTTTCTTAAAGCATGCTGGTACTTCTACCACATTGCTGTTTAAAATGCGTGATGAAAATGAATGTCATTTGGAAAATACATGCTTGCTGCTTTTTAACACAAGCAAACAAAATGCAATGGTTTCTAATTAGTGTGTATATTGGAATTCAAAGAGGGTGGCAAGGGCAGCATAGGCCTGCCCTGCTTGGGAAAGACACTGCCTTTGACACACACTTCTGATATATATATTTTACTAAAGGAACCAGTGATTGCAGAGAAGACTGCAGGAGTTTAGCTGAGAAAGGGCATCAGTGGGCCTCTCCTCAGTGCTGCATGTTTTTAGGAACTAGGTTTCTCAGAAACAGAATGAAGGACAATGACTAGAATAGGTGGTTCAGATGATCAAAAAAGATAATTGCCAGCAAATGCTATGGTATAAAGAATGAGAAAGTTACAGTTAGGGAACAATATACTTAGACAAAAAAGCCAACAAGAAGCTAAGCCATCTATACCAGGCTTTTAATGAGCAATGAAAAAATGTGTTTAACGCAACAAAAATTTGTTTTATAGCCTGAGGATCTTGTTTATGGTTTTCTGAAGCTGTTGTCTACCAACTCTAATTTCATGGTCCTGCTGATGAGAGAAACTATCAGGAACTGAGATATGATTGTGTCAATCCTCAATCAGAGCACAAGGAGGTGGGGTAGGGGAGGAAGACCCTTAATCTCCTCATAGTGAAGGTCAGCTTCCTTTATAAAGATTTGTCTCTTGCCTTAGTAAAAGCAGTCTGTTCATGGCAGGTTCTCAATAGAGTACCAGTGCTAGCTCAGACGGGTTCTAAAAGCAGAGCCTATAGGCATAACAAACTCCGTGTTTCCAAAGAAGTAACACATGAGAATGTGTCCATTCATTCCTAGAACCAAGTGGGTTACCCTCCTTTTCTTCGTTGGAACCAGTCATCACGAAATTCTATAAGAAACACTGCCTTGTAATAACATCACTAAGGCTAAGGGTGCATTTACCATGCTCCCTTTCACCGGAGACTTTAGAAATAAAAAATAAAACCTGTGGCTTCAGAAGTAAGCAGAACAGAAAGTTTATAAGCTATTAACACATTTCATTGAATAAAGGTCTAATATTTAAATTCTGAATAGAATTTTAAATTTAATTTCTGTAAGTTCATTTAAATAATAATTAGATTTGTTTAGTGATATTTAAACAAATATCTACCCGTTGCTTTTTGGCGGACAATATTTCTTGCCTTCTCAACTCCCGGTGCTCCAGATGTGGTAGCACTTCTGAATCTCATCGGCTCGGTCACATCTGGATGGCTACGCCAGCTGAGAGAAAAGGATCGTCCCACAGCAGTCCCTTTTTGGGACTCTAGAACACAACCTTCCAAGGTAAAATGAGAAAAACAATCTGAAGGCTGAATTTGTTATTATTTGTTTTACTGCCTAGGCTGTTCCAGCCAATGCATATATAATGGCATGTCAGCAGCAGTCAAGAAATAGGCCACACACAATACTTCACCGCTAGCCACGGATTAAGAACCACTTCCTTGAGTTGCAATTTAGGAAGCTATGTCATAACCTAAAAATACTTGCTACTAATGTATTTTTAATCTCCAACAGTTTCATAAAAATTGTATGTTCATAGTATTTACTTCAACATGCAAAAGTACATATTAATCAATCTTTCTCAATGTAAGAACAATGTCATAAGAACTTATGCTAGTGTTCCCATGGTACTTTAAAAGCTATTACTTATAGGTCTAAAACTTTGAAGTCCTGATGATTTAAAATGGTACTGGCTTCTGAAGACTCCAACCAAGCTACAATCCCCACAGAAAACCATCAACTCTACTGTAGACTTGGTCAAATGGGCAAGTTAATGAAAATCAACAAATAATTTAAAATCTTATTTTAGAAAAGTTTCAAAACAATGTAACAATGTGGTCAGATATTTGACTTCTCATTCCTCAGTGTTCTGGTCAATTATTTGAAAAAAAGGGCGAAGCCCCAAAAGAAATTTAGAAGGAAAAAGACTAAGACATTTAGGAGATTTTTTTTGCCCAGGAATATGTAGACAATAGATAGAACTTGTGGCTTGTTTTCACATCAAGTTTCCTTGGCATACAGTATCTGTTTTCACTAGTTTAGTGCTTGGGCATGTATTTCTATAATAAATATTTAAATCACTTTTTAGAATAAGGCAATATAAATTAAGATGTTTGTCACAGTCATTATTTAAATAATTTGTTCACATCTCTCAGGAAAACAGCACTTTTCAAGTTGTTTACTTTCCAATGCTAATTTATGTCTTCATAGGGCTGTGTTTACACACTAAGTAGGAAAAAGGACATTAGGATACAGTGTATCCTGCACACGTATGGGTGGTCCTGTGAGTGAGTGCATGCCTGCATTTATTTAAACAGCTTCCGGATGCAGGAAACACTTATTTTGAAAAAGTAAGCTCCATCTTCTATCTTAGCTCTTTCCTCTTTGGCATACTCTCCTCTAGACTGAGAAACACTGTCGTAGGTAGCCAGCCTCCTGCAGAAAGTATTTTGACTCTTCCAGGGCCTAGTTCCTATAGAAATCTCAGAAATGCAAGAGAGAACCAAAAAAGAAGAAGGACCTCTAGTCTAGTTTGTATTTCTAAAAAGAGTCCTGTTTAGCTTCAATTATGGAGAAAAAGTGACTTGTTGCTCAAGCTATGTTAGAAAATTACTGCACTGCATAGTCTAAATCTAAACTGGAATTAAGCCATTCTACTGGAACGCTATGAACATAAGCTACTTTGCTTTGGCTTGCTGCTTGCTTTCACTAACGGGGGCTTTGGCAAGCCATTCTCAGACAGCAATGAACACATGATAGGCTGTCCCTAAACCATGTTCTATAGTTAGCTCACCACTAAAAGCAGCTGGCATCTCCCCGTATCCACATGCTTTGTTCTCACACTGACTCTGGACTTCATTGTGTGACTCACTTTGATAGCAAAACTGAAGAAGTAAGACCTGAAATGTTTACTTCTATAACATCATATTAACAACTATGTGCCGACTTGCTGGATTATAAAGTATGTGTCCCAGTCACACTTACTGTGCTGGCTGACAGCCAGTCAGTTCCTAGAATCACAGCCATCTAAGTGGACACAACAAAGTGTGAATCCAATGAAAATGAGAATTAGTGCTGGCCAGAGTGTGCAACCCAAGTTTTCAGCTCATAAAATCACAGTCGAAATAAATAATAACTATGTTAGGCAACCAAGATTAGGGGTGACTTGTCACACAGCAAAAGCCAAGCGATACAGTCTATAAAGGTTATTGTTACTAAAATATAATCGTTTGTCATCATGTGTAATTTGACAAAGCTGTGAAGAAAGATGCCTGCGAGGTCTCAGAACCAAAAGAAGTTACTCATCACCCAAGGAAAGTTCTGTACTCTGTGACTCTGCTTGATGTAACCCTGAGAAGATCAAAGTCAAATCCAACGTTGCCCCTCCCTGTTTCCCAAGCAAGTCCATGAGGCTCCATGGAATGCATTTTGGCATTTAACCATGCCTACAGTTCCTTCCCACTTTGTCCTCTTCCTTTTTACATTTAATATGTACATGTGTATTTGAATGAACCAGCTAAAGTCTTTACAGTATAAGCAGACAAGTTAACTCAAGTGCTACAGTCCTTAGGAACTGTAATAAAGACAAAGGTATGCAACTGTCATCTCCAACAGAAACTCCCACTGTTTTTACAACTCAAAATTATTACTTTTACTTCCTTCCTTAGGTCTTAAAACAGTTTTAGCTGGAAGTACAAGGCTCCCACCTCAAGCACTTGGAATTTCTCCACACTTTTTAGGGAGGCAGCAGCATGCGTCTTAGCAATGTTGCATCTTGGGCTGGACTTGACTAGCTTTGACATCTGTCTTTACCACGTACATAAGCAACCCTGATGGAGTCAGTCACTAAAAAGTCTTTGTATTTTTGATTTTCTGTCTATGACACAAATCTTTCTAAGTGAGCTATCATGAGGATAAAGTCCATGTGCAAAATACTGGTCATTGTTACTCCTGTTACCAGTCTTCTCTCTTGTTTTTCACTTCTCCAGTCTCTTTAGATATTCACCAGTTTCATTAAGGGAACAAAATAACAGGAGGCACAGTGTAATAACAGCATAGACAGTGTGCAGCTGGTTCAGCTCATTGTGAAACAGTGCGCACTAATGGCTTAGGTGTACAAACAGTTCCCTCACCCCAGAGCTCTGCTGCTGCCTGGCAAGAGTGAAAATACCTTTGCCACGTTGCTTCTTCTCCTTTTGCTCACTTAATTTGTCTAGAGGTAGGTTTGTCATCTCAACTCCATACACGGTTCTTGCAAGCACAGCTGTCAAAGAGTCCATGATGTTGGACCACTCAGTGATGAGCTCTTCCCATTCCGTAAGGGATGACAGCACACCAAGAAAGTCATCCCAGAGCTCCCGGGAAATGTACACACAAAGGTTTGCTCGGATCCAAGCCACAATAAGTGTCTGAAACCAACCAAATGTATGATCTTTAACAACAATTAATATAGCATCCTTTTCACTGCTGTTCTTACTTTTGATCAACTGTAACCAAGAGTTGAATTATGCTAACATAACTTATCTGAGAAAATATTATTCTGAAGTGTGTGACTAACACTGCTGTTAGAAGACAAACTCTCTCTCCATCCAGCAAGCACTCAGTTTCTGTAGGCAGCTCTTTTCCTGTCACCACAGAGGGTATCTCAAACATCTCTATGTGTGATCTTCTAAGCCCCAAGTCTGCATGACTGAGCAGCTGGGATTGCTGTAGAACTCAAAGATAATTCATTACATAAGATTCTCTTCAACCTCAGCCCATAAGACCTTCAGTCCACTGGTGTCTACCTAGCTTCACTTTCATCTGCGAGGTCTTCCAAGAGTTGTTTCCACTCTTGACCCGGGTCCTTCTCAGAACCTTGTACTTCTATCAACCTGACCTATCCTTAGCTACACACTCTACTTCTGCATCTTAAAAACCAACACACTCTCCTTGCAGTAGATTCCCTTCTGCTTACAGCCCTTTCCCTCCTCTGTCACAGTCACTCTTCTCTACTTCCTCATCTCCCAGCTATCTGGATGGGTTTTTCTTTCTGGCAGCCCCCCACTTCTTGCCTGGGTTTGATTTATCTACTTCTATGCCTCCTGTATCCTCTAAAATACTCTTCTGTCTTCATGTCCAAAGTAGATCCCTTCCCTGGTTTCCTGATTATCCACCAAGAACAAGTGCTTTACCAAGAACAAGCACTTGTAGCCCATCATCATGAAGTCAATTACTATTTTTTTTTACCTAATAGTGGGTTGATTTTATTATTAGATCAATATTTTCTTTTAGATAGAGATTATTAATTTTATTGTAGCACATGATTTTTGGTAATGGCCTTGAACTCTTGAAGATAGGAGTTTAAAAATATATAGAGAGAAACTGGTATTTTAGTCATAATAAAAATACTCAAAAATAATAATGGTAATAAAAATTGACCCAGTATTAGATCAGTAGACATAAAGGACAATGGCAACTTAAGATTTCCTGACCCTGACCCAGTTCCTGACATATAAAAGCACAAGAACCATCCTTGTCTGTATGACAAACGGATTACTGTGTCTTCACTGAGTGTGTCACTGAGTGGACAGCCTGATGTGTTTAAATCATGGCCATTTCCCTCCTCAGATCTCACCCAAGGACATGGGAAGTCAAGAGATGGCCACAAATCTACTGTGCTTCCCATGTCATCCTCTCCTGACTGCAGAGTAGGGCAGGACACAGAATATAAAGTAGTACTCATACTCCACTCAGTACAGAGCCAGTCACAACCAGGATCTGTCAAACTCTACAAAATGAAAAAAATGGGTACAAGCTAAACAGAGAATTCCCAACAGAAGAATATCGAATGGCAGAGAAATACTTAAAGAAATGTTCAACATCCTTAGTCATCAGGGAAATGCAAATCAAAACAACTCTGAGATTTCATCTTACACCCATCAGAATGGCTAAGATCAAAAACTCAAGTGACAACATATGCTGGAGAGGATGTGGAGAAAAGGAGAACACTCCTCCATTGCTGGTGGAAATGCAAACTTGTACAACCACTTTGGAAATCAATCTAGCACTTTCTCAAAAAATAGCATTACCTCAAGATCCAGCTATACCACTCCTGGGCATATACCCAAAAAGATGCCCCACAAGGACACTTGCTCAACTATGTTCATAGCAGCTTTATTTATAATAGCCAGAATCTGGAAACATCCCTCATTGGAGGAATGGATGCAGAAATTGTGGTACATTTACACAATGGAATGCTACTCAGCTATTAAAAGCAAGGAAATCATGAAATTTACAGGCAAATGGATGGAACTAGAAAAGATCATCCTGAGTGAAGTAACCCAGAAACAGAAAAACAGGCACTTCCTGATTCATCCATTCCAAGTTGACTTCAATTCTTTAGGACATTCTCAACCACCCAAAGGTCACCTTCTCCTGCTCACTTTGCTGGGCATCTAGAACAATCTACTCTAGTTTTCCACTCAGCAAACTGGGCCCTATTTCCTTATCGTCTCTGGCTGGCTCTCTCTTCTATCAACCACAAAGATGTCTTCATCTCTCTATGCATGTGTTCTCTCTTCACAGTCACTCCAACCAGTCTGAGGCACTGCATACAGTTGCTTGACACAATGATGGTCTCAAGTTTTCATCCCAGGCCCATATTTTTTTGTTATTCTGTAACTATCTGGTTTTCTCTCCACTAAGATGCTCAACACCTGTTACTTTCTTTTTTTCTTTTGTTTTGTTTTGTTTTGTTTTGGTTGGTTGGTTGGTTTGGTTTGGTTTGGTTTGGTTTGGTTTGGTTTGGTTTGGTTTGGTTTGGTTTGGTTTGGTTTTCGAGACAGTATTTCTTTGTGTAGCTTTGGCTATGGCTGCCCCAGAACTCTCTGCAGACCAGGCTGCTCCAAACTCAGAGTTCTGCCTACCTCTGCTCTCCAAGCCTAGGGGTTAAAAGGTGTGCTCCACCATCATCCACTTCTTAACCATCCTGCCCCTTCTTAACGCCTACTCGTCTAAAATAAACCAAGAGGAAAGAGATGACAGAAAAGGATCCCTAAAAACCCAACTCTAACTGTGAAAAACAGACCACAACATTTAGGACAAATCAAAGAAGGAAAATTTCTAAAAATGTAAAGTTAATTTGACAAAACTTGTAAAATCTCAGTAATTAAAAATAATTTGCCAAGTCTGCTTCAATTCTGCATTTGCAGCATTTAATGAAAAAGACTTACCCTGAAAAGCAGCCCTGCCAAGCTCTGGGCAAACAAGTCCTTTCCATGCTTATCCTTTGGCTTCTGCATGACAGCTTCTGTTATCCTGAGAAGGATTTGCAACATCTGCTCCCTGGACCACCCCAAATAAAAGCTCATATTAATAATCACATTTCCAAAGCACTTTACAGGTAAGAGCTCTCCGCAGTCATACACTATTTGGAAGTATTCAAAGTCTAGGTGCCAGTTAGAGAATAAGCATCACACCATATCAACATAAACTGCTTTATGTTACCAGAGTTCTACAGACACGCTTTCCACGTTCATGCCAACTGGCAGGATGACATCTTCCAGACATCTTCCCAGCCTGACTTTTCTCCTTGCAGGAAGGAGGGCAAGATGGTTTTCTCCAACACATCAGGACATTCACTGAGGAAATGGCTGTGCCAGTCTGAATTTACACAGCACTCTGCCATGCTCCATCATTATGTTACATAACCTGGGACGTCTCCCCATCTGCCTTTGTGACAGAAAACAAAGCTGACTCTCTGAGCTTTCATAGGAGGGCATAGGCAGACAATACCACTGCATGACTATGGTTCCTGAAGAAGACAGGAGGGGTCAGAAGGTCAGGACTGAACACTGATGGGCAGTGCACTTGTGCCCGGCAGATCCTGCCTATACCAAAGTACACACCTGGCACGGCTGCAACCACCACAGCTTAGTCATCATGTGCTACTGTTTTCAGAGTCTTACTGAAAGAGGCTTTACATAATAGGCTTAAAGAATCAATATAACACTGCTAATTAAGACAATCAGTGTTTAAAACAGCAGGTCATTTTTTTCTTTCTTGTATAGCTAAGTTTTATTTCTCATATCTTTGGACTCTGAGGGGATGGAAAAACCATTATCTTTAGTATAGAGAGAAAGTCCATTAATTCTAAGGGAATCACTCTGGTTCGCTGGTTCCTGTAAGGCTTTGAATCCTAATCATTTATTCACCTTCATTACTTTCTTCTTGCTCTTCCTACTCTCTAGTGAAAAAAAACTAAGAACACAACAAAGCAATGTGGTCCAGATCAGACAATGAGATCTACAGGTGGTGGTTTCTTTTCTCCTGTGTCTTTGCAGTGGACAGACTATGCAGAATCTCAGTAGCCTTCTCATGGTTTAATGATTCTGAGAATTTGCTATCTGCTCCCTTGGTAGCTGGTTCCACTGGGCTTTAATCTCAGGTTAACTTATTTGTCCACTTCCATTCTCCCAACACTCTATTCTATCTATTTGCTTGTATTGCATTGTCTATAGATTCTGAAATATGGAAGAGGAAGACAAATCTACCAGTTGGATCTAGACACAAGTGCACAGTGCAGGACAGCAAGTCTGAAGAGAAAAAGTATGAAAAGAAATGTCAGAGCTGGAAGTGTGCTGCTTCTCACAGCCAAGATACTCAGGCCCCGTCACAGGGGGACTTTGGCTATTTAGCGCACTGCTGTGTGCTCAGACTAGATGTCCAGGAGCTAACTACTAAATGGAAATAAAAGAAACAGAGAAGTAGGTGGGGAAAGAGGGAGAAAGGAGAGGAGGACAAAGGTGGGGGGAGGAAGGGAAAGAAAGTGTGAGGCATACGTAGGTCTGTGTGGGAAGCAAACCATGTCCCCTTTCTATGCTCTACCTTGGCTAGTTGTTTTTTTTTTTTTTTTCTAAAATTGTCTTTTTATACATTTATCTGGACTTGTATAAATTACTAAAAGAAAAATAACAGTTGCTTTATTTTACTTCCTAGGCTTTTCATAATAAAATGACTATGAAAACTACAATCCCGTACACTGTACAGAGAATCCATAGCTTTCTAAGAAAAGAAGCAGAAGAGACTATTCACACAGCTGTGGTACAAGGAGCACCGTCCAAGTGCAAGCATCTCACGGGGCCATTTCAACTGCTGTGATAGCACTGGGTTTACAGCATACTCTGCACAGCTACGTTGCCAGAGCACACTCTTAACAGCTACTGGACTTAGTAGGAACACTATTTTAAAATACCAGAAAAGGTGACCTTGTAATTTACACTTTCAAATCCTCATTTTGATACTTGTAATTTCATATTTGTGAACTTGCTATAAGCAAAATTCTTCTGGGTCCACCCTTTCCTCCTCTTGGTGGCCCGTGGCCTCTGTCAGTTCACATTTGCCTTGTCTTTAGGGCTTCCCACAAACCATGGACTGACACCTTGAACAACACCAATGGTGCTGGCTCTAAGGCATCTATAAAACAGGTGTGGTCCTGGGAAAATTCCCAATACAGAAGGAAGCCACTGCCACAGGACTTCAGTGGCCACAAAGCCCTAGAGGCTAAGCAGGAAGGGCACTCTACAGGTGGTGAAGTGAGATGAACAGGCCCAGAGCATTTCCAAGATAGGCCACATGTGAGGACAACTGGAAGAAGGGGAGCACGGCTCAGGGCTTGCTGCCTTGTCACTGAGAACACTGAGGGCGATGTGGACACAGGCATGGGAAAACATCGAACACACTTTACATTCAAGAACACGGTTAGACGAAAGGGGAGGAGGTCCTCCCCAATCTATGGACTTGGAAAGGGGCAGGGAGGCGCTGAGGGAAGGACGGTGGGATTGGGAGGGAATAAGGGAGCGGGATACAGCTGGCATACAGAGTTAATAAAATGTAAATAATAATAATAATAATAATAATAATAATAATAATAATAATAATAATAAAGAACAGGGTTAAGTCCAGTGTGGTGGCACACACCTTTAATCCCAGCACTATGGGAGGCAGAGGCAGGTGGTTCACTGTGAGTTCAAGGCCAGCCTGGTCAAAAAGGGGAGTCTATGACAGCCAAGAATACACAGAGGAACCCTGTCTCCAGGAAATGAATGAATGAATGAATGAATGAGTGAATGAATGAAGGTTTAAAATGGGAAAATCTACTACTGAGTAATGTAACACTAACTCCTGTTTAAGAGCATTTAAAAAATAATGAAAATATTTACATATTTTACAAATGAATTACCTAAGTGCTAGGTACTTCCCTTTGTCACAATATTCACAAAAGCTGCCTCAAGGGGCTGATGCTCACCTTACTGTCAGTTTTGAAGAGACATTAGATTAATGGAAAAAAATTAATGGAAACCTTAACACTGTGATTATGCTGAAAAGCAAAGACAGGTGTTTTAGGATGTTAATCTGAAATAAACTTACCATGTTTTTTGATTCATTCTAAGTTCCATTATCATGCGTCGAAAAATAATCAGAATAGCTTTACAGGCATCTACTTGTTCTCTCAGGAGCATGGGAACTTCAGCACATGGTTCCAGCAAAAAGACATTTGCGGCGTTTGTAAGAAAGACCTTAAAGCCAGTGATTTCACATTAAAAACACAATTAGCGATATACATCAGAGGATATTTTTCCTACTGATAATATTACCTTCCTTCTATCAATGAATCATTTCGGGTTTTTTCCATAGACAAATGGCATCAATACAGGTTCCAGGTATTGTAGCTCAACCCCTAAGAACTGCCTAAGTAGACGCCTCAAAGGCTTTTCCCTACTATTCCATATAAGCAGTGTTACTTGAACCATGAGTCTTAAAATATCTGAATTTGTTACATCTTTGAAAAAGTAACAATAAAACAACATCAACAAAATATAAATAAAAAAAAAACAGGACCACTATGTCAGGATGACAACATCTAGGATAGAGAGAAGGTCACAGAAGAGGCCCGTGGCTAGACAACAGAGCTATAATTGTTTTTCCAAAGTGAATTTAAGGCATCAAGTGGAGGAATAAGAATCAATTTATAGCAAAACCCATGTGATGCTGACAGATGTTCACAGTACAAATGTCACATGGTCCTTTTGCATCTACCAGAATGAGGACTCTTCTTTTTCTTTGTGTGTGTATTGCTATAGGGATAGGGGCACTGTATATATGGGCCTGTGCATATGGAGGCTGGAAGTAGACATTGGTGTCTTCTTCAATTCCTCTCCATCTTATATATTGAAGCTGGTCTCTACTTGAACGTAGGGCTCAGTTTTTGCTTGTCTGGCCAGCCAACTTATTCCAGGGATTTCTCTTCTCTGCTTCCCTGATACTAGGATTAGAGGTGGGCTGCCAAATCCACCTGGCTTCTAGAAACTCCAGTCCTCACTAGCACAGCAAACGTTTTATCAGCTGAGCCAGCCTTCTGGCCCCAGAGCTTTTTTAAATAGGAGAACTCTATTATGTAACAAGATACAACAGTCCCAGCATACTCTTAAGATATTGCCAAAGAACAACTATTCAACTAACTTCGCTCTGCCCCAGATCTCTGGGGCCCAAGGTTCTGCAGCAGTAAATTACTAGAATGAAAGAACTCGGGAGTATTCATGACAATGGCACTAAAGGCCCGTCAACTTCAGACACTCATTATTGTCAACTCGATGATAAAAATGGATAGGATTTGGGCTAGAGTGATGACTAAGTGGTTAACAACATTAACTGCTCTTCCAGAGGACCTGGGTTCAGTTCCCAACACCCACACAGACGCTCACAACCATCTGTAACTCCAGTTCCAGAAACTCCAATGTCCTTTTCTGACCTCCTTTGGCACCAGGCACACACGTGGTGTACAGATACACATTTAAATAAACGACCTGTACACATAAAATAAAATAAATCAAATGGGTTCTGTCTCCACGCATACTCTTCCGTAGGTCTCCTTTAAGTTAAATAGTATGTGCATGAAGGCTGTCGGAACTAAGTTTCTCTGGCTTCTTAGTGGAAGAAATCCCAAATAAAATACATAGGCTTAACCAGACAGGCTCAAATCAACACACTGACAAAATGGACGCCAGCTTCTAAGGCTTAGCTTTTGTAGGATGAAAAAAGTTTCATGTCCTAATTTTATTTTTTAAAAAAAAATCACTAATAATCACTACCAGATTTAAAAAAAAAATCACACTGTGAATTTGATTAAGAAAAAAAGAGAACATTTTTTTTGGGTTAAAAAAAAACCACAGCACTTTTAGTGACAATGTTTTCACATGAGTAAACCACCAATGACATATCATAACACAAGGCCTTTTAATTTCATGCATTGCCTTCTTGAATTTGAAAATTCTACCCATTCGCAATTAACCCATTGGTTAAGGTAACAACAAACAATCAAAATTACTATGTCCAAATTGTAGTCATCCAAGCAGCAGTTCAAATGCTCTCTCATCATACCTCTATCCAGCCTCTTTCCCAGGAGCAGCCACTCAAAGAGACAAGTTACTATGTACAGTGAGAACAAAAACAGCATAAACCCTAAGTCACTTGTGAAGCTGTAGAGCTGCAGGGTGACTGTCATCCATGTGGAAGGAGAGCTGCAGGAGGCAAGATCTCTCCAGGCGCGTGTCAAGACCACAGGCTGTAAACGAACTGCACTCACACGTGTGTGGGGTGTCCACACATCCAAAAGGTCACTCAAATGAAAATCCAAGTAACTCTTCAGATGTGCTTAGAAGATGCTTCCAGGTACAAATCATACATAGCTCACAGTCACTGTAAAATAATCCTCAAAAAACCTGCAACTAGCTTTTCTAGTCTTTTTTTACTAGAAAAAAATATTTTCCGTTTATAGGTGGGAAGAAAAATGTAAAACTTGAGGACTCTTTAGTGCCTGATGCTCAAAATACCGGTACACTTCGAATGACATTATTCTAATTAAGCAAAGTGTTCACAGTGCCTCCTCCCCTCGGGCTGTCTTATGTCCCCAACGGCAGCATACCTGCAGCATAGCTTGGGCCCCAGCTTTCACATTTGTGTTGTCTTCCTCTGTCACACACCCTCTGCTCATGGCACTTGTGAAAGAATACGTGCGTCCCCAACTGGATGACCGTTTATGACCAGAACTTTCAGACGAGGCCTTCACAAGATAATAGTCCATTAACCAAGCAGGGAGAAGCCTATGCTTACACACTTGGTTCCTCATACCTGCTCAGCACTCGGCCACCAGCACGCACAGGTCTCAGTCCTCAGTATGTACTGGAAGAGCCACATCTGCACCTACTTCCTTATTGATTGATCTGACCCAATAACTAATTACTAAAATCATTTTACCAATATTGAAGCACCAAAATAACAGAATCAGTACAGACATTTAAAAGTTTTAAGTCTGTGGCTAAAAATTTTAAATATTGTAAATTTAAGTTGATCAGGAACATAAATATATTTTAAGTTTCTTGTTTTTAGGGGGGTGTTTTGTGCTGTCGTTTTAGATGTATCCAAGCCTTAGCTTGGAAGAGGACAGTGCCTCCTAAAGGAAGGCCACACCTCGGCGCTGCTGACACATCAGAAAGACTTGCTCTTTACCCAGCTAAGCTTTTCAAATATTTAGTACAGATTTCTTCTGGGCAGTGAACTGCAAAGACAAATTTGGCAAAACATCCTGCGTTTAATTTTCCCAATAACTATTTACTTAAACAAGTTAAGAAGACACCAGCTCTTCAGTCTCACAGAGAGAACTGCAGAATGTGAGAAAACAGCTGTCTTGCAACAATGACTAAGAAAGCAGCCATGTGCACGTGGCCTAGGCTAAGCATAAAGCCAACAACCGCCCACCAAAGACAGAGCCTGAGCGACAGTGCTTCAGAGGCAGTTCTCACAGCACCTAACGGCCTGCCCGAATGGCCAGAGTAGGACCCTCTACTAAGCAGGTCAGCTCTGCCAAGATGCATGTATCCTCAACTCAGAGGCCAAGGTTACCTCCTTGGAGTCAGTCTCTGTCAGTCCAAATTTGTCAGCATCTTCTTGGGCAACATCCTTTTTATCTGGCTCCTCCATGAACACAGGTTTATTCTGAAGGATCCACTTCCTGTATACTTGAACTACTTTTCTTGTTACAGATATCTCACAGGACGGCAACAAAAATGCCTGAAAAACCAAACAAAAAAAATTAAAAAAAAAAAAACAACTCTTTAATGCCACACAAACTGAGATTACAGACATTTCCATCACCAACCTCAGAAACCTTTAACTTGCACAGCGACTACACATACACTTTTCTACACACCACTTAACTGAGGAAAAAAGACATCTTCATAATTGGAACAAAAAAATATTTCAGGTAGTTTTTGTTACCAAAAATAACCACACCATACTCATCTAGGCATTGTCTATATAAAATAATTATAACTAAATTTTCAAGGTTCCTCAAAAAATATAGCCTCTTCTTGCTTGTTTTGTCTTTTTCTTCTCCTTCCCTTCTTCCATCCCACGTTTGTGCTTTCTTCCCTACTTCCTTCTCCGACAGTTTTCTACATTTATCAGAACACAAAGCACAGCCACAAATGTTAACAAAACTGGTGACTTGTAACACTGTGCACATTTGCCAGACTTAAAAACAAACAAGCAAGCAAAACTCTATGTGTTTATGCACAGGCCAGAACAACACTAGATGTCTTCAATTGCTTCATTATCTTATTTTATCATATAGGTTCTTTCACTGAACTTAGAACTTGGCAATTTGGCTAGATTGGCTGACAAAGAAACCACAGGAGTCTTCCTATGTCTGCCGCCCCATGTTAAGAATGACAAGCACACAGCACCTTTTATGACATGGGTGCTGGGATCTGGATGGAGACACAAAAATAGGACAGAGCAGTATGCAAGAATGGCCAAGATGAGAAAACAAATCCACATAGTCACAAACCACAAAGGCAAGCAGAATAGATATAAGAATTTCACAGTATTTGCTGAAAACCAAAGGCAATCAGAAAACATAAGGAACAAACCACATGGTTTGTTGTGTCTGACAAAAAGAAACCATGAAAGAAAGGCCTGAAGTTACTCAAAGTACAAAAGGCACATGGCTACCAGTATAGACATAATATAGTATCCCAAAGAACATACTTCAAAAATAAACACAAAATGCATACACTTTCAGATAAGAAAGTTTGTTGCCAACAGTCCTGAACTAAGGGAAATACTAAAAATTATCCTTCAGACATAAAGGGAAATTATTCTAGGTCAGAAGTTTGGAAAGGAATAAAATATCACAAAAAGGACATTTGTAGAATTCTAAATGAATAGGGCATATATAAATATATATTTATATGTAATATAGTAGTTCTGAAAAGTATGGTATACATATACAAATTCATTTTATAATATGGAATTCAAATATATAACAAAGTCCTATGAGCAGATAAGGATTAAGGGGGTGAACATGAACTTATGTTGAAACTGATAATAGATTTTAAGTTAGAGATGCATGATACTCTCTAGCCATTAAACAAATACAGATGAGTGTAATACCTACACTCATAAGCACTGGAGAAAAAAAGGGACAACTAGCCAAAAAAAAAAAAAAAAAATCACCTGCAGTACAATTAGAAAGTAAAAGCTAAAACTGCTGATTTACATCCAAGAAAAGCAGTTTCTATGTTGCATGGAAGTAGAATAAAGCTGCAATCAAAAGGCAGAGATTATAAAACTGTATTTAAGAAAAAGCTTTTTAAAAAAATCACCTGCAATTTGTAAGAGGAAATCCAAAGCATATGTACATGGGAAGTAGACAGTAAAAAGATAGAAAAACATGTATCATGAAAACACTTACCAGAAGTCAACATATTAAGACTACACAAGACAGACTTTGAAAAACAGTACATTTGTAAAAGTAGAAGCTACTATATCTTCACATCAGATGGACGTCATCACAGAAAGGCACACGGTTAAATACAACTATATTAATGGACTGTGGGGAGCCCTGCCCCAGAACACAACTCCTACCGCTAACGCTCAGGGAACACCATGGAAGAGAGGGTGGAAGGACTGTCAGAGCCGGAGGACAAACAGTCTGCTTTGAGACTGTATCTTTTAGAAATGACAGCCTGAACAAGAACAGTATCAAAAGAAACGTCACCAGACATGCTAACTTAAAAAGGAGGAAATCTCATGAATTCAACACCTAGACAAAAACTACAAATAATGGCTCCTGGGAGAGAGAATTACCCTCTTCCAGGTAGATATCAATTTGAAAAGGAAATGGGGGAAGGAGAAGGGACATGGGGGGATTAGAAAGAAGATAAATATGAGATGGGTTGGAGAGAAAGGGAAAATGAGGAAATGATGTAATTATATTTTAACTTTAAAAATAAATTTAAAAAAACTGGAAGCTTCCTAATGATAAACTCTTCAATTCATAGGAACGCACAGTAATAAAATGCATACTGATGCCACAGAGAAGAAAATTTGACTAGCTGTCTGGCCTCGTGGCTTTCCGTTGATCTAAAATCACTAGGTTGGATGGTCACTCAGCTGGGCAGCCCACTGCAGGTCCCCCAACCCTGCCACAGAGGACACCTCTGGCTGAAGTCACCTCGTGGGTTAAAGTCTTCCTTCCGTGAAAAGCTTCATTTTACTATCTCGCTCAGGGAAAGCTGCTCTTTTCATCTTTCTTTATTCTCCAAAGACAGTTGCCTTTGGCTACCCTGGGATGAAAGGTGCCTTCTACACACTTTTGTAAATGCAGAGCTAGCTATTCCTGGGGAAAGGACTTAAAATGGCATGGGACATAAAGTTACTTAATCAGCAACTTTTCTTTGGATTTACAGAACGAACCCAGAACCTCTGGTGACTTATGGATACCAACAGTCTGTGCTTCAGAAAAGCAAACTACCCCAAATTTAGAGATGTTTCATTCTTGCCAACTTCAAAGGCCTACCCACCTACGCCCCCACCCAAAATCAATCCCTATGAAGCCTTATACCTGCAACTCATATAAGATGGCTTCTTCTTCTTCTTTTTTTTTTTTTTTTTTTTTTTTTTTGAATATGAATCTTTTTTCTCTGTGCATTGGTACGAAGATGTCAGAATCTGTGGAACTGGAGTTACAGACAGTTGTGAGCTGCCATGCGGGTGCTGGGAATTGAACCCGGGTCCTTTGAAAGAGCAGACTGCTCTTAACCACAGAGCCATCTCTCCAGCCCAGCTTCTTTTTTTAAGGCACCCAAGAGTCCTCATCTTCCAACTTTCCAGCTTGTTCCCAATAAAGCACTGCCTTTTCCATTAAATATGTGGTTTTACCACATAGCAATGAAACTTGACTTTCTACAGTGTCTTAGTCAGGGTTTCTATTGCTGTGATAAGCACTATGACCAAAAGCAAGTAGGAGAGAAAGGGTTTATTTGGCTCATACTTCCCTATCCCTGACCTCATCACTGTTCATTACTGAAGGAAGTCAGGACAGGAACTCAAAATCTTAAATGTACTCATTCCAAAGGTTCAACCTTAGAACCTAAGTCTGAAGTCCTTATAAAATCTTCCTGCCACTAATTTGTAAGCCAAGAAAAGTTTGGCTTAAAATTCCAAACTCTGGAGAAGGAGAAGGAGAAGGAGAAGGAGAAGGAGAAGGAGAAGGAGAAGGAGAAGAAGAAGGAGAAGGAGAAGGAGAAGAAGAAGAAGAAGAAGAGGAAGAAGAAGAAGAAGAAGAAGAAGAAGAAGAAGAAGAAGAAGAGGAAGAAGAAGAAGAAGAAGAAGAAGAAGAAGAAGAAGAAGAAGAAGAAGAAGAAGAGGAAGAAGAAGAAGAAGAAGAAGAAGAAAGAAGAAGAAAGAAGAAGAAGAAGAAGAAGAAGAAGAAGAAGAAGAAGAAGAAGAA